CAAACGACTGCTTTAGGACCTCACACACACTGCACTGCGGCCACAGCTCACCCAAACGACTGCTTTAGGACCTTGCTTCTCTCAAGAAGTCAGTGTTCCAAGAAGGACGAGGCAGCACAGGTTTTAATTCATGCTTGGGAGCAGTGTTTTAAACTCAATATCAAACAGTTACAATTGTTGGCGGCCAGTGTTAGCAAAAGGCAAGCAACTTTCTTTCTTTTTCCTTTTTTTTTTAAGGTTTATTTATTTATTCTTTGGAGAGTCAGATATACAGAGACAGAGAGGAAGATCTGTCTGCTAACTCACTCCCCAAGTGGCAACAACAACTGGAGCTGAGTTGATCCGATGCCAGGAACTTCTGCCAGGAACTTCTTTTGGGTCTCCCAAGTGGGTGCAGGGTCTCAAGACCTTGGGCTGTCCTCGATTGCTTTCCCAGGCCACAAGCAGGAAGCTGGATGGGAAGCAGGGCTACTGGGATTAGAACTGGCATCCATGTGGGATCCCGGCACACATAAAGCAAGGACTTTAGCCACTAGGCTACTGTGCCAGGCCCAAGGAAGGCAACCATTAATGGTTTTCTTCCTTTATAATAGATATCAGGGTAAAATGTTAAAGTTTTAAGAGTGTCGCAGTGAACACCACTTCAGAGCCCAGGGTATATTTTCAGTAATTAAGATACATCAGGTAACAATGAAGAATCTAAAATGCAAAGATTTGCTGCTGCAAGCTTTCAACTCAAGACAGTGAAAGGCAACTTTCATCCCCTAGTGTCAAAATGCTGCAATGCTTAAATAAGAGACTGATAGAATTATGATTCCATATGAAGGACTACACCATTGCAGAGAATGGGGAAAATCTGTCGGGGGTGGGAGTTTGGCGGGGGGATCCCAGCCTATACGAAATTGTACCACGTAATTCAAAATTCAAAATAAAAATATATTTTTTAAATGCTGCAATAGGTTAAGTAAGCAGGGCAAGGCAAGGTGTTTGCTTCATTTCTCATTTACTCATGCTGCCCTGCAATACACACAATCATAAAGATGCAAAAAATTGTAACAGTCACCTTCTATTTTAAAAATGCACAAATTCTACAGTCTTATGTGTTAAAAAGACAATACATTTAATAATGAACAGAACATAATTTAGGTTGGCTCAACTGGCTAATCCTCCACCCTGTAGTGCTGTTTGTGTACAGGATGCTCCACTTCCAATCCAGCTCTCTGCCTATGGCCTGGGAAAGCAGCGGAGGATGGTCGAGGGCGCTGGGACCTTTTGTCCACATGAGAGCCCTAGAAGCAGCTCCTGGCTCCCAGCTTCAGATCAGCTCAGACCTGGCCAGGCCATTTGGGGAGTGAACCAGAGGATGGAAGACTACACGCACTCCCGCAGGGATACGCTCAATCATAAGCAGAAGGGTTTGTAATAGTCTTACAGAGTGAATATCTGCAGCTGCTCAAACACAAACGATCAAGTCAAGAAGCTTCACAGAAACAGTTATGGTTACAGAAGAAGGGCACGCACGTGTTGCCTAGCAGTTACGGTAGTGGCTGGGGTGCAAGTCCTCAAGTCAGCTCTTCCTGCCTCCAGCTTCTGGCCAAGGCAGACCCCGAGCAGCAGCACAGCTCAGTATCTGCCAAGAGCGCGGCAGACAGAGCCTGGGCCCCGCGCCAGCACTGGCCGTGCCCCTCATCTGGCAAGTGAACTAGTTGACAGGGAAGCTCCAGCTCTTTCTGCCTCTCAAAAAGTCAAAATAAAAACTAAACTGCAAATCCCTGCTATACTATTACCAAAGAATTTAGCCCAAAACAAATTAATTTTCAGACAAAATCTCAGGTAATGCCATATGGAACAAAAAATGGTCAATAAAGAAAATTTAAAACCTGTAGATAAAAAAAATCACCACAGCATTCACAAGTAAACTCTAGTATATAATGTGGAGGTTTGGCAAATATTAGAGAAAATGACAGAAATAGTGGAAATCAATTTTAAGTCTATAGTATTTATGAAGTAGTCTGAGTTATGAATTAGATTTTGTTAAATCAAGCATGCAATTGGAAACTGTAGGTATATTCCACATAAACAATTAAGATTACAAGTAAATATTAAAAAAAATTATAAGGATAGGTTTTAACATACCTCTGAAGAAACAACATAATAAAGACTTGAACACATAATATTCTTTATATACTAGGAAAATTTCTAATCTAACAGATAAGCCACAGCAGCTAGATAAGCTTCTTTAATCACACAAAAAATATTAGACAAATACTTAAGATTTTGATATTATATAGACCATACTACAAAAAAATTGCAAAATCACAGAGACTGGAAAAGACAATGTACAACGGAAAGTCAAAATTTTAAATAGTTCAGGAGTCAAAAAAGTAAATGGAAACGATGAATTATAAGTGAATCACTATATATAATTGATGTTATGAAAATATTTATCTTAAAATTAGAGTTCATCACGGGAAAGAGAACACAGAATTACAAGGGATGTAAATCAAAAAGAAGTAATGATAAAATGAAAAACAAAAACAGAACAACAAAATTAGTAGCCTGTTTCTTTGAAATGTTAGTAAAGGAGTAAAATGCTAATAATACAAATAATACAAAGACAAGAAAACATGCACAGAAATAAAAAGAATCATTTGGAATTACTAAAAATAGGCATATGCCAACAAATATGAAAATCTAGAAGAAATGAGTACATTTTGGACAGACACAATTTACGAAAGTGGAGTCCTGAGGCATAGAAAATCTAAACAGACCAATATGGAAGCTGAGCCTGAGTCAGTCATAAAGACACTCCCAGGACGGATGGCTCCCCTGCTGAGCTCTACCAAGGCTCCTTATGCTGTCCAAACAACTGAACCGGAGGGAACCTTCCCAGATTCCTTTGATGAGGGCAGCATCACCTTAATTCCAAAACCAGAAAGAGACACAACAAAGAGAACCACAGAGCATCAGCATCTCTTAGAAATACAGATGCAGGGCCCGGCGCGGTGGCGCAAGTGGTTAAAGGTCCTTGCCTTGCACGCCCGGGATCCCATATGGGCGCCGGTTCTAATCCCGGCAGCCCCGCTTCCCATCCAGCTCCCTGCCTGTGGCCTGGGAAAGCAGTCGAGGACTGCCCAAAGCTTTGGGACCCTGCACCTGCGTGGGAGACCCGGAAGAGGCTCCTGGCTTCAGATCGCATAGTATCGGCCCGTTGCGCTCACTTGGGGAGTGAATCATCGGATGGAAGATCTGTCTCTCCTCTCTGTATATCCGCCTTTCCAATGAAAAAAATAATAAAAATAAATCTTTAAAAAAAAAAAAAAGAAATACAGATGCAAAACTATCAACACAACACTAGCAATGAACCCCACAACCCAGCAGAGAGGTCTTCCAGCCAGCCCAAGCAGGACTCATTCCTGGGCTACAGAGGTGACCTAACACATAAAAACCAATAAACACGATACATCACATTTACAAGTTAGAGAGCAAAAACCAAATGAGTATCAAGATGCACAGAAAGAATTTGATTTAAAGATATGTCCTTTCATAATTAAAAAAAAACATTAAATTGTATATAGAAGGAACATAGCTCAACACAACCAAGGCAATACATGACAAAGCCCCAGGCAGCAGCACTGGGGACGGGAAGCTGGAAGCGTGCCCACACCCACTCTCACTACTACCATCCACTACAGTTGTGAAACTGCTACTCAGAGCTGTCAGTTGAGAAAAAAAATCAAAGCGATACAAATGGGAAAGATTTATCTGTGCTCCACTGTTTACAGCAGCTCAACTCTCAACTCATAAAACAACCCAGACATCTGTCAACTGAAGACTGGATGAATAAAATGCGGTATATATACATCATGAAATATTACTTGGTCATAAAGACTGAAATCCTGTCTTTCCCAGTGAAATGTAGATCATTATGCTAGTGATGTGAGTCAGTTCCAAAATATCATGTTTTCCCTAATTTGTGGTACACAAAAAGGTAATGTACATGAGTGAAACTGACATTTTGAGATTTGATTACTGTTTACAGTCCTTGTCTATACCCTGGGGGAGAGCATTCTTCAATCGCCCAAGTGCTTGGGCCCCTGCACCCATGTGGGCGACTGGACAGAAGCTCCTGGCCCACTGGGAGGGCTGCCTCAGCCTGGATGGGAGAAGCCAACAGCACCTCAGAACCACCTGGATCACGTGAGCTGGACTCTCAGAGCATGCGGTACAGGGGACCCTAGGTAGTGTTGGGTGGTGGGTCCCCATCCCTGGATACTGGGACATTTGGAAAGCTGCGTGTTGCTTGCCCATTATCTCTCCCCTTCCTCAGAGATAAGAAATAGAGAATTCAGAAACAATGATTTCACCAACTTCCCCAACCCGCAATGCTCCCACCCTGGCCGGCCGTGATCATCATGAAAACAAACCAACAACTAAGGGGTACTGCTCATGGTAAAGAGAGAAAGAGAGAAAGAGAAAAAGAGAGAGAAAGAAAGGAAGAAGGAAGGAAAGAAATTTTATATATAAAACACATAATTTGTAAAAGCATTCTAGCATCTCACTTCTTAACATCTGCAGATATTTCCTCTAAGTTATAGCAATTCTCTAAAAAAAGATGTATTTTATTTGAAAGGCAGCGTTATAGAGAGACAGAGGGAGAAACACTAAGAAAGAGATCTTCCATTTGCTGGTGTACCCCCACAAAGGGCTGTAAGAGCTGGGACGGGATCAAGATGAAGCCAGCAGGCTTATCCAGGTCTCCCACTGAACTGTTTTCTGCTGCTTCCTGGGGTGCATCGGCAGGGAGCGGGATCAGAAGTGAAGAAGAGATTAAACTGGGGTTCAGATCAGATAACCCATTTCTGAATATACCATGAAGTACTATGTAAACACCACGAAGAACAGTAACCGTATCAGGAGGGAAGGAGTTTTTTTTTTGGGGGGGGGGAAGGGTGAGATGAATGCACCAAGAGAAAAACTAAAATCACTAAAAATCTCACCGAAGATCCAGACCAGCTTCCTTCCACAGCAAATCCATCAAGCGTAGCATCTGAAGTGTTAACATATCCTGTCGTAAATCTAAGAAACAAACAAAACCACGCGGCTTTATTATAATGGCTTCTGTTTTAGGCCTGGTAACTCAGTAACTCAGTCTGCTGATTCACCACTCTGATCATACTCCCCACACAAAAGTCAGGCTCACTGATTAGCAAGCTCCTATAATACTAATATCAGAACTAAACAAACAATTTGTTTATATTGCTCACCATGTTTAACTTACTTTTTGTAGGTCTGTATTACATTCTTTTGCTAAATTTTTATTCTTGTTTGCCTTTGGGGCTGCACAAGAAGTCTTACATATTGCATAAATAACTGCATCATGCAAACTGCAACAGCTGAATTTACAGTTAAAAATATCCGTGGTTGAGAGGAATTTTCAGGCAGAGAGTTTATGATATGAACATATGACATCTGCATGCTCAAACAGGGTTAACGCCAGCGAAACCATGTGTGTTACTTACAAGGAAGTCATAAGGTACATTTACCTACGTTATCCCACAATTAATTCCACTTACTGACAGACACGGAACAGCTAAGCTGCACGGGGACATGAAGCACCTGGCATTCGGTGAGTTTTCCGTGGCTTGCTTTTAGCCACACAACTAACAAATCACCAATGCTTTTGGTTGCTGTGATTACCTCAGGGGCACTTCCTTTATAAAATTTAATGCAGTTCGTTATTTTAATTAAAAATACAGAACTACAAAAATAAAAAACAATGTTGCTTTCATGGAAACAAAGTGCGTAAATACATCATTGAAATGTTCTGTTCTATTTCACAAGTTTCCCATCAAAAGAGTAAGTTTTGTGTGCTTTCTAAGGGGAACAAAAAAAGGTGTATTTTTAAGGAAAAGAAAAAGGAAGGTTTATTAAAATTGCATCAGAGGTGAAGTGCAGGCGCCGACCTCAAGGCCACGGGCGGAGGGGCCGGCTGTCCTGCACCTGCACATCACCTTGCTGACAAAGCGAGTCAGCAACGGATGGAAAAGGCTCTGCAACAGAAAAGCCCCAGCACTCACCATCACCATTTTTAAAGATGACTCCGACGGAATCCTCCCCAAACACCTTGTTGTTGTACACTAGCCACAAAGGCTTCATTTTAGAATCCATGTACTTGCACTTCTCAACACTGAAATCCAAAGGGAAAATGAATCCACTTCAATGTGTTAATATGTCAAGATCGTGGTTCTGGCCTGACATTCGCCTTGGATGACTCCCACACTCCTTCCAGTCTGCAAAGCCACACCAGACACCTTGTGGTGTACGAGCAAGTGCAGCCTTGGCTGGCATGTTCTGCGACAGCCACCTAGATTTAAGCCTCAGGATGTATTCTTTCCACTCTCTCCACCTAAATCCCTCCGTTTTTCCTGGTATGCCTTTAATTTTGCTATTTTACTTAGCAAATACAACCTTAATCACTGGGCTGGAATTAAGACTCACAGGAAATTTTTCCTTTCTAAAAGAGGAATCGATTTGAATACCGATGCCATACTAAGTACAAATGATCATTTTTCTATTATGATGATTCTATGAAATGAGAGAAATCACAGTAACCTTCCAAAATCATTCAAGTTTTAATTTTGACAGTTTAATTAATTAATTTGTGCAGCAGAGCCAAAGACAGCTCCTCCTATCACTAGATTCTTTTTGGAACCGCCTGGAACCAGCGGGGAACCAGGGATTCAATCCAGCGGGCACACTTGGGTGAAAGGAATCTAATGACTGCCACGCCTCCCAGAGCAGCTGGCAGGAAAGCAGAGCCAGCTCCCAGACTCGAACCCAGGACACTGACACCAGTGGGGACAGACAGACATCGCCAAACACCTGACTCCAAGACTGCATTTTTAAAACAGGATATTCAATTAGTAAATAATTTATCATGATTTCCAATATATTGTTCATTCAGAAATCTCAAGTTTCAGAAACATTTGCAATAAGTCGGCCAACCCTACAGGTGAATTTAGCTCTTATTTTGTCTGTTAAGTACGAGCATACACCCTGGGAAATTGTAAGATTTTTCCCCGCTCCCTTATTTACACTCACTGAGGTGACCACCAGCCCCCAGCTCACCCAGGGCAGTGATTCCGAAATGCTTTAAGACTTACTGGAGTTCCGAGAGGAGGACGCAGGGGTTCAGCGGGGACTGCAGGCCGGAGAGGGCGTCGCGGTAAGCGCTCTGCTTTAAACATGTGTGCATGGCCTCCTTCCCCTTCGATCTGTTGAGCTTCACTGCATTCAGCTTTATTAAACTATTTAAGGTCTTTAACTTATTGAGTGCTTCAACCTGAAAAATAAGTTTTTCCACCCCCCCAAATTAATTTATACTTAAAAATAATGTAGCATAATATCATAAGCTCACACCATTAATAACACCAGCTTCCAAAATGTTTCCCCACCACACCTGCACTAACTAGCTCAAGTCAAAGCAGCTTTTGGCTCACGACAAGCATCTTGTCAGAACAGAATGAAAGGCTACTCCCCATTCCTATGCCACTGTCCCTTTCTAAGAAACATGACTTTTAAAAAGTTAACTTTACTGTATTGTTTCATAACTGAGAATCTTTTCATGTTATATTGTGAAAAATCCAAAGGGACAAAATATCTAAAGCCAACTATAAATCAGAAACATTTTGTTTTATCATGAACATATAACTTTTAAAACAGGAATAAGAAATAAAACACTGAAATATGAACAATGTATAAAGCAAACAAGATAAGTATACAACAAACACAGCAAATACTGTGGCTTAAGATTTCATGAGCAGATTCACTGCACACTGGCTGTCATGTTTTAACTTTGTTCCTACACAAGCAAGTCAGAGACCATGCATGTCCTAGGAGGAGAGGGGACTCAAGCACGCAGCATCTACAGACTGGTGGAGGTCTTATTCACAGGAAATCAGGAAAGTTCTGTGCAACTTGATGATAAAACAGACACCTGAAGCTCGCCAAGTCAGCCATCTGTTCAAACCGGACACTCACTTCTTCACAATTTCAAGAGCTGCACAAACACTGACAACAAGACAACCAGATGAAAACTGGGCTGCGCAAACGCAGCTTCTTGGAGGACTCGGTGTCTGCACAGTTGGGAACTCTCACTCTCCATCTCTAACCGAATGATAAGCATTTCCTGGAACAGTGTGCTTACTCCTCCTTGCCTTATGCGAAGTATTTTAAGTGTTTCAACACTTTGTCTTGATAGGTTAAGAGTGATAACAAATACTGCCACGTAAAAGGGACAGTCTTCCTCTTATAACGAGGTCAAGAAAGAGAGTAGAATGATCTGCTCCCATACCAGGCATCCTGGTGTCATTATAAAGGACAAGCTGGGTTCTAAGGAAAGAAGATACGTGCAGATTGAATTGATGATGAAGTCAGAGGCGGAGTGGCCACGTGGGCGCACGGGAACTTGAGGGAGGAATCTGAGTGCTGGGCTCAGAGCAGTGAAACTTACGAAAGAAACCTGACATAACACAAGGACACTTTTAAAAGGTAACTTTATCAGTTGTGCAGAGGACATGGAGAGAGGTAAGGATGGCAAGGAGGGATTTAACAGGAAATCAGGCAGTTAACAAGGAAGACCAGTTTAAGGAGGATTGGACAGTGTGGCAGCCGAATATAACGTACATGACCAAGCGTGAAATATGAGGGAACGTCACATGGAAGAATGTCAATGACCAAGGTAAGCCCGGGCCGGAGCTCTGGCTGCTAAAGAGAGAGTTAACTCAGGATATGAAAAAACAAGGTATGGAGATGTCACCATTTCAACCATAAAGTTCATATTCATTAAATAGGTCAGATAGGTAAATCTTACTAAATGTAAGGCATGCTAACATGGAAAATATGAGTGACCTTAAATATTTTTCATTTGGCACTTGGTTAAGGATTTCTGCCAAAATTGTTCTAATGTTTTCTTTAAAAATTATTTATCTGTCACACAAAGAGATACACAGAAATGCAGACATACAAAGAATGATCATCCACTGGTTCACGTCCCAAACAGAGGGCCAGCGTTGGGGGGTCTGAGAGCTCAGTGTAGGTCTCCGTGTGAGTGCCAGGGACAGAACTGCATTAGCCACTGACATTGGCTCCCAGTGTTTCCATCAGACAGCTGGGGCCAAGAATCAGGGGACTCCAACATGGACTGTAGATATCAACTATTAGGCCAATATCTATCCTAAAGCTTCATTTCTTGAATTAAATTTGGTAGAAAGTATTAACTAAATCCAATTACTGAAATGCCTATAAATTAATATAAAGGAAGAAATTACATTTGGGACAAGTAGGATGCCTCAACTGAGTAATCTTCCACCTGCAAGTGCCAGCATCCTAACCCAGCAAGGGTTCAAGTCCCAACTGCTCTACTTCCTATTCAGCTTTCTGTTGTGGCCTGGGAAAGCAGTGAAAGGTGACCCAAAGTCTTTGGACCCTACACCCACGTGGGAGATCTGGCAGAAGCTCTGGCTCCTGGCTTCAGATCAGCTCAGCTCCAGCCTTTGTGGCCCCTTGGGGAGTGAACCAGTGGATAGAAGATCTTTCTCTCTAAATCTGCCTTTCCAATAAAAAATAAATAAATCTTAAAAAGAAAATTACACTTGGTAAAATCGATTAAATATTATTCGCTAATCTGAAGCGGGGAGTAAGAGCGCTGGTACCTGCTTGGAAAGCACCTTCATGTGGCCGACACTGCCGCGGCAGTAGGCTTCCAGGATGACCCCGAACTGGACAGCGACGGCAGGGATGTGCACCTCGGACCTGCACAAAACCGACACCCTAATGACTTAGATTATCAAATAAAAATATGGACTTCTTTACTTCTGAAATAAATTATATCGGCCATAATTATTAATGAGATAGTCAACTTTACATTACATAAAATAAACTTGAGAGATCAAAAGCTTTGAGATCACATAATTAGGTAATTGTTTATTCTAGGAAATCTGCACATTTCACATCCTACCAATTTAGACATGAGTAGGTTGAACAGAGACCAGGGAATTTGACTGGCATCATTTAAATCACTAAAACCCTCCATCAGGTTCTAATCAAATTTTTATTACTTAAAAATGGTGGGCTTGTTTATTTTATCATTCCATGAGAGGTTAAAAACAAGACTGAAAATGGATGAGGGCAAAAAAGTTTAAAGAAGAAAAAAATTTATGAATACTAAAGGAATCAATATCCAAAATACTCCTAAAACCAATAACATGATTTTATGGAGTTCAATTTGTTTAACAAGCTAAGCCAAAGAGAAAAAGATAGGTACTTTCAAAAAAAGATTTATATATTTTTATTACAAAGTCAGATATACAGAGAGGAAGATCTTCCATCCGATCAATCACTCTCCAAGTGAGCACAACAGCTGATGCTATGCCAATCCGGAGCCAGGAACCAGGAACTTCCTCAGGTCTCCCACACAGGTGCAGGATCCCGAAGCTTTGGGCCATCCTTGACTGCTTTCCCAGGTCATAAGCAGGGAGCTGGACAGGAAGTGGAGCTGCCAGGATTAGAACCGGTGCCCATATGGGACCCCGGCGTGTTCAAGGCGAGGACTTTAGCTGCTAGGCCACGCTGCCGGGCCCAAAGTACTTTTCTTCTTATAATATAAGCATTGCTTTCAATACTCTGAGGTTCATATTAAAAAAAAAGTCTGAGAATAGAGTCAGAAATGAGGAATCTAAAGTCCTTCCAGGAAACAGAAGAATAATTTCCACTTGTCTGATTTTATGCTTGCATGAAATCACTACAATACAGTTCATGCACTTTTGGAAACCACCTGGCCAGTACAGCAGCTGAGCACGACGCGGCTGTCACCATAGTGACTCTGTAAGAGCAGGCTGATGACAAGTGCTCACAGCAACTTAAAGGGTTAAGGAGAGCTGCACTTGTCTCAAATACAGAGACAGTAAGTGTATTTTACTGGAAAATGGCTACATTTGTATTTTTAATTTCAGTTAAAACTCAAGCAGGCAAGAAGGCGACGCCTGAATTACTTCACTGAGTACCGAAAGCGGAAAGGAAGAAGCGACACACTCAGCCCCGCCCGTGAAAGCTTCCCACCTCCGGTGCTGCTGTCGGGGAAGCGGGCTCAGGCCGACGGGGAAGGCTTACCTAAGGTGCCAGAAGAGAAACTGACCGATCCGCCGGTTAGCAAGTGCTCGTTCTAAAAGGAATCTCGACAGCGCACAGTCGAGAAATGGCTCATATTTTAAAACTTGCACCAGTTGTAAAAGATACTGAGAGAGTTCTTCGTCACTGAAAGAGAAGAGTGAGTCAGCCTGTGCCGGACAAGACGCCCCCTTCAGGCCGGGCTAACCCTACTGGAAGGCATGCTCCTCGGGCCGCTCTTACGCCTCTCATAATGCCACAGCTGAAGCTGCAGATTCCAGGCGGGGCCAGGAGAGCTGGCAAGGAGGAAAGCTCAGACACATGCCACTGCTGTATCAGGCCGTTAAAACTGATAACTGCATTTTCCATCAGCAAAGAGTTGCCCAAAAAACTGGGTAGTGTGGAACGAGTTTCTGACATGGTTACCACACTGATTCACTGAATCTGTATGACAGACAACAGTACTGGGCTGGATTAACCCAGGCTAACGGATCTCTGAGTTGTGCTCATCAAAGCCATTCATCTGTAAACACATCCCCAATCACAGCTGAACTAATAATGAAAGGCATGAACCCCAAGTTTTTTACATACTATAATCTTGGGTCATAGTTAAGGAAGTAGTTTAAGGCAGATCTGGACAAAACCCCATACTATATACCAATGACGTAACCATAAAATGCAGCACAGGAAAGAGCATGAGAAGTGGCTCCATGGCACGTGGGCATCGGGCAGCGTTCTGAGAGCTGTCAGTGCGCTAACAGGACCGCCCGGTGCAGCCAAGGGGGACCAGCTGTCAGTGCACTAACCAGACCGCCCGGTGCAGCCAAGGGGGACCAGGTGGCCGCTCTCACACTTCTAATTTTACTCCCCAGGAATAAACTACTATTGAAGAGTGTGTCCAATTTATTTGGAAAAAGACATGGTTTAAAACACACTTGTTTTTACGGAGAAAAGGAGAACATATTATCTATGCCATTCTGAGAGCGTTTGTATTTCAGACACTGATATTGTACCCAAGGTTCTTTTTGAGGCTAGAAAATGACAAACATGAAAATGCTCATAAGCTCAAACTTCCAGTCTTAAATTAATCTCCATCTTATACAAGTATTACTCCAAAGTGTGCGTATACATTCGCTGCAGTGTTGTTTCACAGAGGGAAATCTGGAAGAACTTAAATGCGACTCAACAGAATTTCAGAAGGGTTTCCACACTCCCAACTGAGCAGGATGGCTCACTGCACCTAAACCACTTGCATTAATAGTACTGCTTATGCTGCAACTCGTTTCCTCTGGGGATTACACATATTTAGTTTATGACAGATGCAGAATATTTTTGACTAACTCCTGATAAAAACCCTAGGCATGAAGCCCGCATACGCTTCCTTGACAGACACATGTTATTTACTCTTTGGAAAAGCACCCTGCAAGTTCATTCTTGGTCTCAGACCTCAAACCAAGAAACCAGTCTTATCCAACTGACTCTATTCCTTTGATACAATAAAAACAGTCTTATCCCATCAACACTTCCAGTGAATCATCAGCCAGGATGACCTTGGTGCCATCTCAACCAGCTATGCTTTCCTGCTTTTACAGTCTGCATATACATGAGAGGGGGTATGACAAAAGGAAACAGTGCACACAGAAGTCTGAATTCTTACTTTCTTGCATTTCTTACGAGACCCACAGAAGACCCTCCCTTCCTCACTCATTCACAAGTTATTCACGCGGAGGAAGGCCCGCGGGAGGTACCTCATCTGCTGCAGGCAGCCCACGGCGTATTCCCGCACATACTGGTCTGGGTAGTTGAAGTCCAGGAGCTCCAGAGCCTCCCGAGGGGGCAGTTTAGGCCAAATCTGAAGCAGCGCTTGAAGCTGTTAAAAATCAAAACTGGTTCAGAAGCAATGGGGACCAAAGTTACCTATTGTTTCTAGGCACACAACCACACTGAGCTGAGTCAAAAGAGCAGAGAAATGCACATTTACTGAACGGTATCCTGAAAAGGCACTACCGCTCTTAAGATTTTTTTGTTGTTGTTGTTAAAGTATTTCACTAGGCCCTTGTGTGGTCGCTTAGCGACTAAAGTCCTCGCCTTGCATGTATCGGGATCCCATATGGGCGCTGGATCTAATCCTGGCGGCCCAATTTCCTACACAGCTTCCTGCTCGTGACCTGGGAAAGCAGTTGATGGCAACCCAAAGCCTTGGGACCTGAACCTGCGTGGGAGACCCAGAAGAGACTCCTGGTTTTGGATTGGCTCAGCTCCGGCCGCTGCAGCCACTTGGGAAGTGAAACAGCGGATAGAAGATCTTCCTCTCTATATTTGACTTTCCAATAAAAATAAATAAGTCTTAAAAAAAACCCCACTATTTCACTAAAGAGTAAAAAAAGCTACCAAGTACAAAGCTTAAAACTGAATGACACGCTGAATCCAAGAGTTCTTAACTTGTTAGTCACTAAGTAATACCATCAAGACAAAGGAAAACAACTGGAAAACACCGAATATTAAAATTCAAAGTCCAAATCGCGGCTGCCAGGTTCAATCTAATAACACGCAGCGCATATGTGAGCAGTTCATTAACAACACCATGAAATAAGCTCCAGGAGTTGACTTTACTTTTAAAAATGTGTTTGTTGAAAGGCAGAGCTCCCCAGCCAGAGGGGAAATAGAAAAAGAAACAGAGAGAAGGAGAGGGAGAGAAAGTGATGGGTCTTCCATCTGCTGGTCCATTCATCAAATTGCCCTAACAGCCAGGACTGGGACAGGCAGAAGCCACTAGTCAGGAATTGGGCTATGTGCTGCTTTCCCAGGCACATTAGCAGGGAGCTGACTGAACTGCAGCAGCCAATATTCAAAGCAGTGCCTACGCCTCAACACCAGCCTCTAAAGGACTTAGCTCTAAAAAAAAAAATTGGGAGTCTGGCATGATAGTGCATGGCACTGGCATACCATATGGGCACTAGTTTTTGTCCTGGCTGCTCGTCTTGCAATGTACCCCTCTGCTTATGGCCTGGAAAAGCACTGGAAGATGGCCTAAGTCCCTGGGACTCTGTGACACGTGAGACACTCAGAAGAAGCTCCTGGCTCCCAGCTTCAGATCAGCTCAGGTCTGGCCACTGCAGTCACCTGGGGAGTGAACCAGTGGCTGGAAGACCTTCTCCTCTCTCTCCTTCACTGTAAAATCTACCTTTTGAATAAATATAAATGAATCTTAATTTTTTTTAATTTGTTTTTCATTTGAGGAGAGACAGAGACATGGAGAGTTCTTCTGTCCACTTCTCCGATCCCCAGGGCCAGCAGGACCAAAATCCATCCAGGTGTTCTGTGTGGGAGGCAGGAGGGCCCCGCGTGCTTGCAGCCCTGAGTGCTGCCTCCCAGGACGTGATCGCTCGGATGCTGGAGCGGAAGTGGGGAAGACAGGACCTTAAGCACGGACCCTGACGCGCAATGCAGGCATTCCACCCGACTCAGCAATGAATTTCCAGCTCAATTTTTAAAATAATATCTATCATTCAACAAAAATTTTGCTGATCACATGATTAAATTCAGATGCTCATAATAAAGAAGTAACTCACAAGAATAGAATGGAAGCCAGTTGTTTCCCTCCCCGTCACATCACTGAGACTGACACGTGCCTTCCTCGGGTCCCTACTTCCTCAAGGCTTTGGTATATTTCAGCACGAAATCTTGAAGATGATGGTGATTAGGAAGAAAATTGGTCACGGAGGAGAATGAAAGTAACTGAACCGTGGCCCTCTTAAAGTTCAACCCTCTCTGGTAAAATCTTACTCCTGGTATTTAATTTCTGAAGCACCAATGACAAACGTCACAGAGGACACAGGATATGCACGACAGAGCAGTGTTCCTGGGAGGACAGCGCTCACGGGCCAGGCAGTGGCCCTGGCAGCACGCTGGACACGTGCTCGGCCTAGTGCGGCCGTTGCGGCAGCAGGCGAACGAGCCAATGGATAGGAAGGTCTCTCTTTGTCCATCTCTTCATTATATTGTCTTTGAAATAAAGAATCTAAGCCTTAAGGAAAAAAACAAAACAAAAACCAAACCGACAGCACTTCTAGTTTACACTTGAAATAAATAAATAACCACATACTATTGGAATGGACCGATAATAAATAATAATATTAGAGATTCAGCTGTATTATGGTTAAAAACAATCTTACCACTGGAATGTAATTACTTTTGCTAAGGTCATTCATAATTAAATTAAATTGTATAAGCATTAGATTCAACAAATTACCCAAAGACACCACTTCAGTTTGGTGAAGACTATTGAAGCTCAACAGGGGAGGGACGGTCCTTTGGTCACATACCCAGCAGCTGACCAAGTGCTGCTTGCTGTAAAGGCCACTGAAACGGCTTCTGCCACACGCACAGAGCCCTTCCCTGCGGATTACGGTCAGTCTGTCCAATACAGACTTAGAACAGAACCTCCAGCGGGCTTCTGAGTGTGCCTCTCAAAGGACCCAAGTTAGCAAGGAGCAGTCAACACCCTCTTGTATGAGCTCAGTGTGGCTGGGAGGCTGACACGGCTGCAGGAGGAACCAAAACCCACTTCTAGGGTGGGGTTTGGGGTTGCGACAATGTCAAGGTTCAAGGCCTCGCTCTGCTCCTGACTAAAGTGGGACACCTGGGCTGAGTTCCAGGCTCCTGGCTTTAGTCCTTCCTTGGGGAAACAGCAAATATCTGAGGAACAAACCAGTACCATCACGGGGAGTGTACCAGTACCCCATGGGGAGTGTACTAGTACTACCATGGGGAGTGTACCAGTACCCCATGGGGAGTGTACCAGTACCCCATGGGGAGTGTACCAGTACCACCATGGGGAGGGTACCAGTACTACGATCGGGAATGTACTAGTACTACCATGGGGAGTGTAGTCTTTCAAATAAATAAGTGAATAAAAACTAACTAAAAGATAAGTGAAAATCATTTGCTTTTACTCCAGTAACTTCTCCCCAACACCACAAACACTGGGATAGTAAAGTTAAAGCTTCCCTACATCCACACGTGAGACAAGTTTGTTAAATCAGTGAATGAAAAATGTCCTGTCCCCGGGGATCAAGTACAGAAATATTATAAAGGCCGCTGTGGCTGCCTATCATACTAATCTTGTGCCTGCTAGTGCCAGCATCTCATATGGGTGCCTGGTTATGTCCTGGCTGCTCCACTTCCAATCATCACCCTGCTCGTGGCTTAGGAAAGCAGCAGAGGATGGCTCAAGTCCTTGGAGCCTAGACCCTGCACTCCCGTGGAAGTTAGACCCCTTGGATCCAGAGAGCTCCCGGCTCCTGGTTTGGGGTTGGCTCAGCTCCAGCACTGTGGCCATTTGGGAAGTGAAGCAGTGGATAGATTCATTCCCCCTCTGTAAAATCTTTCTCTGTAATATCTGTCTTCCAAATAAAAACATACAAGTAAATCTTTAAAATGGAAATATAAAGCAAAAACACTTTTCTATTTCGAGCCCAATGAAATAATACAATATATTTTTTGAATATGCATTTAGCACTGGACAGTATTCATGAGAAACAGGCAAATAAGCCAGTTAAAAATCACTAAGACCTTATTTTCCACCATTATGAGGACTTGTATAAAATCAACCAGTAATTTAAATAAATCGTTAGAAGACAATAACTATTCCAGAGCAATTAAAGTCTAAATAATAGAAAATAGTTCCTTCCCAATGCAACATTTATATGATCTAACTAATACAAAAATAGTTTCATTTTGGCAAACACTGTAATTGTATGATTCCAGAAATATTAAACTATACATAAACACAAAAGAAATCCTTCTGCACTTAATTTGAGAAATAACAAAATCCAGTGACTCTAAAAACACATGATTAAAAGAAATATGCACTTCTTTACTAACTTTCAGTCATGATAAATTTATTAAAACCAGAAAGCTAGAAAGACCAATGGAATTGAAATAAAGTGAATAAATTAAGTTATTTTAATAGGACAAATCTGCTACGATTTAAAAAAAAAATTCAAGGAGTTTAAATGCAGGAGTTTCTGACAAGTAAATTCAGGAGAGAAAATGTGCTGATTTTTTAAAAACAAAATATTCTTCCTTTCTCTTTCTTGCCTCTAGGCATGCATTCATTAAATTAGCACCGCTCAGCTGACTGGGTGCTGATCTGTACAACAGGCAGTTTCCAGACACCAGCCACTGCTTCAGAAGTCATGCCCAGGTGCCCGAGCGGACAGTGTGCGGCCTTCCCGGAGGCTGCTGGCACCAGTGCTTCAGAAGTCATGCCCAGGTGCCCGAGCGGACAGCGTGTGGCCTTCCCGGAGGCTGCTGGCACCAGTCTCCTGCAGCAGGTGCTCTTGCTGACGACAACTGTCCTAAGACGCACGCAAAGTGACAGGAAGGACAAGCCTACCCGGAGTCAGGATTTTTTCAATCTGTATTATATTTAGACTATACATGAACTTAAAATCTCAATATTTCTCCTGAAGAAAATTCACCCAACCTATGGAAATGCACCAGTGACGACAGAACACTTCAAAATGAATCAGCCACACAACATGAACCCCCAGAAGAGTCACAGAAACACTTCCGGTTACCTGAGCAACGTCTTCAAGTTTATTCCACTTAATGGACAGCAGTAGTTTTGGCAGAGACTGTGGGAAGTTCTCCCTGCAGTCTTGTCGCAGAGTCCAAATGAGGTCCATTTCATTCTCACAGAGCTGGGACAAAGGGTCCCTGTCCAGAATCTCTTTCAGTACTGCAAGGAACTTTTTCCCACCTCGACTCTAGGAAAGCAAAATACTTTTTATAGAAGCATACAAACATCATTGGTGAACAGCAAATTCCTGTCACACAATGAACTTACATTTAAATATATACAATTTAACGCTTTGACACTAACAGAAGCAGATTCTTTATAAAAAGGTTTTACTCTTTAAAATCTGGGAGAAATGAGTTGTTCTCACAATTATTCTAATACTGAAAAATACTGTTTCTAAAAGAAATCACATATAATCACTAGGTGGCAGTGCTGACTTTTGAAACAAAAACTAAGTCCTCTCAGAACAGAATCTAACTTTAATTTCTATACACAAAAAGATAACCCACACATACAATGAGATTAAAAATAAAGGATACATTCTTGTCTTTGCCATTAATTGAAGGCATAAAAATGTTCTTCAATTAAAAACTTCAAGTTAGCTAAAACTAGACAGGGAAAAAATAGCTCTTTAATTTTCATTACCAATAAGAATATACTCCACGCTATCTTTTTGGATGCAAGCTCTCTGAATTTCATTAACAATAAAACAAGAGGCTCATGTCCCCAAACTTCCATGAAAATGATTCTACTTTAGTCAAAAGATGTTTTCATTTAAAAATGTTAAAAGTTTCTAAGAAGATTCTATAAGATCTTCCACTGTAGTATAGTTTAGTTGACATTTTATCTGTAGTTCTACATAAATATGAAAATAAAAGTGTCATGTTACTACTTTCCTAAATAAGTCCAATTCAAATCAGCACATATACAAAAAAGACTGAAAATACCAAGTACAAAATGTATTAAGTGAAGAAAGTAATTTTATAAATTCCAGACACAACACACCCAAAGCAACATAACCACTAGCTCTGAAAGCTTTCAGGACTAAGCACTGCACTGTAACACAAAGACTGATAGGGTTACACTAAACTTCCTTGTTTTTCTTCCTTTCGGTGTGTAATAATTCACCAATACCAAATGTACCTTATAGTAAAACGATTTTTGCTTATTTTTCAAACATCTTTAAGGCTTATTTTTGAAATATTTTTACAAGCAGCCGCATCAGCCAGAGCTGAATAGATCCAAAGCCAGCAGCCAGGGTCTTCTTTGGGGTCTCCCAAGTGGGAACAGTGTCCCAAGGCTTTGGGCCGTCCTCCACTGCTTTCCCAGGCCACAAGCAGCGAGCTGGATGGGAAGTGGGACCACCGGGATTAGAACTGGCACCCATATGGGATCCCGGTGCATTCAAGGCGAGGACTTTAGCCGCTAGGCCACGGTGCCAGGCCCCATAAAATAAATAAATCTTTAAAAGGAAAAAAGATGGCAGGAGATTGAAGTATCTTTATATTTTTAGCATATGTTTCTTCAGTCTTTAAGAGTAGACTATGGGCAAAGGGGAATCCAGACTCTAGAAATTGTACCATAAAATTCAAAATTTAAAATAAAAAATTAAAAAAACAAAATAAATTTAAAAAGGATAAATATAAGTAATAGGTGTGGTCACCCATTATCTAGGAAGTAAAAAGAAAATGGCCCAACGTTTGGTAGCTTGGCTGGAAACAACAAACTGAAGAGCAAGTGTTAACTGACCCATAAGTAATTCTGATCCTCAACCTTCAACTTTGCTGACGTAACCATATATATTTTTATATTTAAAACCCTTCTGTGGGCCCGGCGCGGTGGCGCAAGTGGTTAAGGTCCTCGCCTTGCACGCCCGGGATCCCATATGGGCGCCGGTTCTAATCCCAGCAGCCCCACTTCCCATCCAGCTCCCTGCCTGTGGCCTGGGAAAGCAGTCGAGGACGGCCCAAAGCTTTGGGACCCTGCACCCGTGTGGGAGACCTGGAAGAGGCTCCTGGCTTCGGATCGGCATAGCATCAGCCATCGGCCGTTGCGCTCAATTGAGGAGTGAATCATCGGACAGAAGATCTTCCTCTCTCTCTCTCCTCTCTCTGTATATCCGCCTTTCCAATAAATAATAATAAAAATAAATCTTTAAAAAAAAAAAACCCTTCTGTGGTTTAGCCAATAGAATGAAATCAAAGCTGGTATCAGGGCAGTAAAAAGCTGGTCTTCTCATACTTTTCCTGCAGGCTGCCCTAAACCTGGCCCATTTACTTTTACTGCTTTCCGACTATGTTGTGCACACTGCAGTGAGGCTCACTTTAATACGTTGTGAATTCTGGTTTTTGCTCTCAAGATGATAAACTCATCTCAAGATTGACGTCAGATCTTACATTTGAACAAAGAGATAATTAATACATCAAAATGAACAGAAGCCATTGCTGTGGTGCAGCCATTCCCGCTGCAGCCCACAGCGCCAGCATCCCATAGCAGCACACTAGTCTGGGTCCTGCCTAACAGCTCTTGCCCAGCTCCCTGCTAACGCTCCTGGGAAGGCAGCTGAAGAAGGCCCAAGCACCTGGCTGCCTGTCCCTCAAGTGGGAGACCTATCTGAGCTCCTCGCTCTTAGCTTTGAGGAGTAGCCAGTAGATGGAAAATCTCACTGTTTCTCCTTCTCTTGTATAACCTTGCCTTTCAAATAAACTAACTTGTAAAAAATGAAAAAAAAAAATTCTACAACTGACATGCTTTTGCATTAAGATTCTGAATTGGGAGGCTCTGGTTTAGCCCAGACATCTGCTAACCAGGCTAGTGGCCCAGATCTGGGGACTGGGCTCTGACCCCAGCAGAGTCTACTGTTGTAAGAAAACACACGGGCAGGACAGCCCAAGTCCTGAATCCCTTCTCCCAGGAGGCAGAGCTGACAGCAGGAGTGCAGAGGAGTCTGCACACACATGCTTACATCTCTACTCCTGATTACAGAATAAAGCAGTGCAGGTATCTATTGGTGGATAAGTAGAGAACCAAAATAATGGAATATTACTATGTTTTAAAAAGGAATACCCAACATGCATCACAACAATGATAAACCTGAAGAGATTACATCCAATGAAATGTCTAGTGGTCAAGTTCACAGACACAAGCAGCGGACTGCCAGCTGCCAGGTGTGGCCGAGAGGCAGAGGCAGCAGCTGCCAGGGGATACAGCACTTCCACTTGCAAGAGGCAAAGCTCAGGAGATGAGTGCCCCACATGTGCATGTACTTAATTTAATGTGAATATGTTAGTGAGCTGAGTGTTTGAACATGGTTAACATGGTAATTATTTATGTTACATGTATTTGCCACAATTAAAAATGCCAACAGCAGGTAAAATATCTTGACAACGTAAAGGCCATGTTACCTGAATTGCATGTGTTCCTGTAGTACACACATGCACACACAGAGCACACAGCAAGGAACGTGTTCCCAAGCTGTTACGGCTCTGGGTCTGCTCCTGACATCTCCGTCAACAGTGCAATGAGAACAGAGTCCACACAGCGCTAACACTCAGGCTTCCAAAAACCAGTCAGTGACACAGGCAGGAAATCAGAGGCTCTGGCGGAAACTCTGGAAGCAGCCAGGAGTTGGTACTGGACCTTTCAGCTACAGGCAATGGTGAGACTGCTGTGCACACGGCCCTGGGAGAGTGCCAGCTCAGAGCCACGTGAGCAGGAGGAAGCCAGGCGACTCACAAGACAGACGCGGAGGGAACTGCAGGGGAAGCAACTGCTTCGGCCGGGCTGCCCCTTCCTGTTCCGCTCAACCATCCCAGCCTGGAGTGAGACCCAGGAGCGCTGAGTCCCAGGAAGTCACCCACAATACATGAAGTCTTCACAGACAGGATCCTTAATGCCTATAGTTTCACAAAATGCATTATGCTGGTCAGCCAGGAATTGTCAAGTACGAAAGACTCCTAAGAGGCTCCTGAGACATCTGAGGAAAACACTACGAATGCGGTCACCGCGCTAAGAACCAGAATAGCTCCTCTCTTCCCGCCAAAAGCACAGAGCGCTGACTTATTTCCTTACAGAACAACACTGGAAAACACACAACCCTTCCAAGGAAAAAAGAAAAAGCAGCAGGCACTCGACAGAGCAGTTAGTCTCCCCTTGCGGTGCCTCCAGCCCATGACGGGGCGCCTAGGTTTCAGTCTGCGCTGTACTACCATCCCAGCCTTTCTCCTGCTAGCTGCACTTGGGTCAGGTCCTTGAGTTACTGCTGCCCAGGTAAGAGAGTCACACTGAGTTCCTGACACCTGTCCAGCCTGGCCTCGTGGGCATTTGGATGGATCGGGGACGGGAGGCGAGAGATCATCGTCTCTCCCCAGAAATTGCTGCTCAGCTCAGCTCCGGCTGCTGCGGCCACTTGGCAAGGGAACCAGTGGACGGAAGATCTTTCTCTCTCTATCTCCTTCTCTCTGTAAATCCACCTTTCAATAAAAATAAATCAATCTTTTTTTTTAAGATTTATTTTATTTTTATTGGAAAGGCGGATATACAGAGAGGAGAGAGAGAGAGGAAGATCTTCCGTCCGATGATTCACTCCCCAGGCAGCCGCAACTGCTGGAGCTGAGCCAATCCGAAGCCAGGAGCCTCTTCCAGGTCTCCCACGTGGGTGCAGGGTCCCAAAGTTTTGGGCCGTCCTGCTTTCCCGGGCCACAGGCAGAGAGTTGGAAGGGAAGCAGGGCTGCCGGGATTAGAACTGGCGCCCATATGGGATCCTGGGCGTGCAAGGCGAGGACCTTAACAACTGCGCCATTGCACCGGGCCCAAAAATAAATCAATCTTAAGGAAAAAAAAAAGACTCATGTCTGGGGCAGGCATTTGCAACTCGTGAGCCACTGCCTGGACAGCGGCAGCACTGGAGTTGACAGCATTGGAGTGAGGTCTCGCTTCTGCCTGATTCCAACTTCCAGCTAACCCACGCTCTGGGAGCCCAAGAGGGGACGGCTCAAGTACTTGGGCTCCTGTCACCCACACTGGAGACTCGAACTGAGTTCCTGGTTCCCGGATCTAGTCCCAGCAGTCACAAGCATTTGGGGAGTGAACCACTGGACAGATCTGCCTCTTTCAAACCAAAGGAAAATGCATATTTAAAAAAAAAAAGAGGAAGCAGGCAGGATAGTCACTGTGGGACACCTTTTGGATGAAGAAAAGCTAGAACAAACAGGCGATCTATCACCATGACAGGTATATGCAATAATTAATAGCAGCAATTTATGCTATAGAGTGGTAATAAGTGTCTTTTTATGTTTGTAGATTCAGTTTTACTTGAAAGGTTCACAAGCATGCACATACAAAAGGAGAAATCATACACCCACTGACTTATTCACCAAATGCCCACAAGCAGCCAGCTGGGTCGGGGTGATGCCAGCAGCTGGTACCTCAATCCAGGCCTCCTGCAGGCCCTGCCTCCTGCAGCCAGTACGTGCTGCCTCCCAGCGGCGCACTAAGGAGCTGGAATTCTAGCATTCTAATACATCGTGCACACAACCTAAGCAAGCTTAACCACTGCGCCAAACACTGACCCCAAAAGCATTTCCTAAAGAGTTACTGACTTCTCTATTTGACAAGCAGAGCTATAGAGAAGGAGAGATAAATCATCCATCTGCTAGTTCTCCTCCCAGATAGCCAGAATGGCCAGTGTCGGGACAGGCGGAGATCAGGAGTCCCCCTAGGCCGCCCACAAGGGGGGGGAGCACTAGGACTTGGGCCACTGGCCACTGCCGCTCCCACCCTATTAGCAGGGCTCTGCTGGAAGTGGGAAAATTGATAGATGAGCCGGAGTCCATATGGGATGGCGGCTTCACCCACAGTCAACACGGGTCCACTCAAAAGCAGTTTTTAAAAGTGGAGCAGACCTATTCATACTAACATGATAAAATCTACAAACAGCACTAAATAAAAATAGAAGTGATTTATAGAATGATCTCATTTTACAAAAATAAATAAGGGAAATAGCGAAGGAGCGCATAAACAGATTTTTTCTCTGGTTTATGGAGAAGTACAGCAGAGCCAACACCGTTACGGCAGTCTCAGTGCTCAGGGAATTCTGTGGCGTAGATCAGCTGCACAGCTACAGCAAAAGCACCGGACCGAGCCTCAGCAGGTCCTTGTCCTACGAAGGGGCAGGCTGGGGGCGGCAGCTCCCTCTGCCTGGGACACCTGCACACCACAGGGCCTGGGTCACACAGCTTCTCGGCTTCTGATCCAGCCTCCTGCTGGAGAGTGCCCTGCAGGGCAGCAGCGGCTCCAGGGCAGGAGTCCTTCCCCACCACAGGAGACCCAGGCGGAGTGCCTGCCTCTTGCCTTCAGCCTGCTCCAGGAGCAGCTACTGCAGGACATCAGGGACGTGCCCGTGGATGAACGAGTCCCTCCGCCTTCCAGAGAAATGACTGAGTGCTGTAGAGTCTCCCGTTGTGTTTTCCAGGTTCCTGCTGCTGGTTCTGCTGAAGCCAAGCAGCGGGAGCAGAAATACTAAGCTATGACACACAAAGTACACGTCACGAGTGGTGGAGTTCCAGGAGGGCAGAAGCTGGGAGCCCCGGATATGAGGCCTGTCCTTCCTAAGTCGTTTATGAGACACACAGCCTCCAGCAACGCGACACTGGCCGAGCCGTATCTGCTCATCTATGCAGCTCTCGTCTCCTCGGCAAGGCCAGCTGCGGCCCCCGTTCCTCCGTCGGGAAGCAGGCTCCCACTGAACAAGTACCAAGCTCCAACAGCTGACATTTCAAAAAACACTAGTATGTGAACACTGAGCCACGCTCACGAGTCAGACTCAAGTGTGCTGCTGCGAATGAGACCAGGTGCACAACTGCACAGAGAGCCCTGCTGGAGCTCCTGATACTTACGGACACATTGGCACTATCACCGCTTGCAATCTCAGCTGCCTTCTCAATAATCTGTGGAAAAATTAAAAATAACAATTTTGTTTTTCATATTTATAAAATTTTTAGCATAAATGACTATACTTAGACCATAAGGGACTCCATATGGCCTGGCACTTTCACGCTTTATAATGGAAACATACATTTTAATACCAAGTAGTATTTTTCAAATGATTCAAACTCTTACAGGAGAAATATGTTATTACTATCTGTAAGGAATGTAACTCCTAAGGAACAACAGGGTTATTTGTAGATAAAATAAGTAATGGCTTACTCATACATGTCAAGCTTAAAATTAGGGGGTCCAGCGCAGTAGCCTAGCAGCTAAAGTCCTCCCCTTGCGTGTACTGGGATCCCATATAGAGATGCTGGTTCGTATCCCAGCTGCTCCACTTCCATCCAGCTCCCTGCCTGTGGCCTGGGAGAGCAGCTGAGGACGGCCGAAAGTCTTAGGACCCCGCTCCCACGTGGGAGACCCAGAGGAACAAGGTCCTAGCTCCTGGCTTCGGATTGGTTCATTTCCAGTCGATGCAGCCCCTTGGGGAGTGAACCAGTGGATGGAAGATCTTTTTCTCTGTCTTTCCTTTTCTCTGTGAGATCCAAGTTTCCAATAAAAATAGATAAATCTTTTTTAAAAAGTAGGTAAATGCATTCTAGGTAAGAAAATGCACATGTACAAATATATAAAAGTTACTACATGTACAATAATAATCTCTCGTCACATTTTCTTTCACTTAACAGATAGTTAAAAGCAGAAATAAAAGCTAAATACTTGGCAATATTTTGAAATTGTTTAAGTTTAATGGGGCCCCATTCTAGAAATGACAGAAACGCACTGTCCAGTGAAAACATCAACGCATACAGAATTAGAAAATCCATATCCTATGGCTGAGTGATACGGCCGTAAGTAAGAGATTCTCCCATACAAATGTGGCAGTTCCTACTCTATTCTGCAGGGCTGTAGTGATAATCGAATGAGATGATTATATCAGAAGGAAGCAATAACCATTAAAATTGATATGAAAAGCAAAATGTATAGTGATTATAGCACAAGCAGTACATTAAAGAAAACGAATAGGACTTGGGGAAACTTCGTATTTGTACAACTGGCTTTTTAAATAACCATATAAACTTTATAAGGAAAACCAACCAGTACATTCATACTTATTTAAAGATAATATCTCTTTCCCACATTGATCTTCTTCACCAGAGACTCTCCAGGGACCATAAGGACAGAAGGAAAGTTTGACAACCAGCTGCGAGTGACTATGGCAATGGTAAAACTGGGGATTTTTTTTTTTTAAAGATTTATTTTTATTATTTTTTCATTGGAAAGGCGGATATACAGAGAGGAGAGACAGAGAGGAAGATCTTCCGTCCGATGATTCACTCCCCAAGTGAGCGCAACGGCCGATGCTATGCTGATCCGAAGCCAGGAGCCTCTTCCGGGTCTCCCACGCAGGTGCAGGGTCCCAAAGCTTTGGGCTGTCCTCAACTGCTTTCCCAGGCCACAGGCAGGGAGCTGGAAGGGAAGCGGGGCTGCTGGGATTAGAACCAGCGCCCATATGGGATCCCGGGCGTGCAAGGCAAGGACCTTTAACCACTTGCGCCACCGCGCCGGGCCCAGGCGGATTTTTTTTTTTTTAAAGATTTATTTATTTTATTACAAAGTCAGATATACAGAGAGGAGGAGAGACAGAGAGGAAGATCTTCCGTCCGATGAATCACTCCCCAGGTGACCACAGTGGTGGAGCTGAGCTGATTCGAAGCCAGGAGTTTCTTCTGGGTCTCTCACACGGGTGCAGCGTCCCAAGGCTGTGGGCCATCCTCCACTGCTTTCCCAGGCCACAAGGAGGGAGCTGGATGGGAAGTGGAGCTGCTGGGATTAGAACTGGCACCCATATGGGATCCTGGCGCGTTCAAGGCAAGGACTTTAGCCGCTACGCCACGCCACTGGGCCCCAAAACTGGGGATTTTGAAGAAACTCTCAAAATATCTGATCATAAATAACTAGGATGCTAAGTTTGTCAGAATGTTTCAAAAGGCCTTTCAGCTGACCCCAAAGAAGCTAACGTTGATAATGTCTTCTGGGTAGATGACTGGCAGCACTGCCAGGAACTGTGCTTTAAGGTCAATCCCTACTTACAAGAGCAGATGAGGCAGACACATATTTGTAACAAGTAAGGCCAACATCATCCTGTTGCATCACTATATACTAGGTGTAGGTTCTTGCTATACTGTATATTGTAACAAGAAAAAACTTTAATCTGGTTTCAAATTACTGGTCACAAAAACATTTTCCAGGAACTTAAAATGAAAGCCTACTTCTTGGGTAGTTAAAATAATTTCCATAGAGGTTTGACAGCAAACACCAAAATGCAGTTATATTTACAGGTAAATTATTTAGTATAATATCAATCTCTAAAGGTTTAAATAATCATTTTCTGAGAATTTGTTCAAAGGTTTTCTCATAAAAATCAGTGAAAACCACAGCATGTAAGTTAGCACCGCCAGTTTTCAGCAAGTACAGATAAACACCTGTGTCTAGGACACACAAGCTGAGCACTAAAAAGGATGCATTTAGGAAAGTCCTTACCAGACAAGCTCCAAAACGACTCCCCGAGCAAGCTCTACCTCAAGCAGCAACACTCACCCTGTGGCTGGATCTCACTGAACAGTTTGTAATCACAAACACCTACAAAGCGCTGAAGCGGAAAGACTTCCCACTGTCAGGGAGACCTGCACCGCAGAGACGCCGTTTCCCACTTGATCGCAGCCAGCCCCTGCGAGCTCTGCTCAGGATCTTTCTGGAACAAGCTCTCAACGAGGGCCCGTCGCGAAGCAGAAAGACAACAGGGCCTAAACTACAAACACACGGAACCGGAAACTAACATGTCAAGTATTTCATAGAATTGCTCCTTAAATAATTTACTTACCTTATCAAAAGGAGGGTAATAGTAAGGCTGTTTTTTATTCTCAGGAAATTTAATATGCAAAGCTGTTGCATTTTCAGTGTATGGATTTGTCTGAACAGTTCCCATTGGATTCAACATTTCTTCAAGTTCATCTAAAACACGCAAATAATTTTGATTATTGAAAAAAATGTTTTTGGACAAACAATTTATAATAGCTTTACTCCCATAGGAATTAACTAGAAAGTATATATTGTGGTAAATCTTTGTATCAATAAGTCTCTAATTCTCTGTTAATGCTTGGGGAAAATTTTCAGTGTGTTTGCTCACATATTTAAAATGACAAAGCTAAGAAAAATTAATGCTACATTACCTCTTTCTTCATATTGGTAAGTATTTTTAATCTTGAAGAAAAATAAACTGAACTTCCTCCTCTCCATCAGGTAGGCCACAATCCTCGCGGCCCAACCACTGCTCGCAGACCTGTAACGTGGCTTCCTCAGTCCTCACCCCAGCAGACCGGCATCTACACCTTACCAATGTCATTCTCCCTGGGCAAACTGAGGTTTTCAAAGCTCCCTGACTTGGACACAAGTGCGTTCTGTAATATCCCACCCAGCCGGTACTGCACTTAGCTAACCGACCGCCTCCTTCTCCAAGGCATGTCTTGCCTTCCCTAAACGTGCTCCACTCACAGACTTGCCCTTCGACACAGCAGCAAAACCACATGGCTTAGATACTCTTAACTTTCTAATTTCGCAGATAAGTAAACTTAAGATGGAAGAGGCAGTAAATCACTCTTATATGGTAATGTTTATATTAAAATTTCCAACTTTTGGGAAGCTAGTATGGGACAAAGGAAAGGGTATAGCGGTTTTTCGTTAAATCCTTGGTTTGAATGAATTATGAAAGACTAACGTACTTGGAGGGTGATTTTTTTTTTCATCACTAAAAATGAGAATTAAAACAATCTACCTATTTAATAAGGCTAGTTGAGTAACAATTCAGTGTGGACAATGCTCTACTAATTCAAAGTAACTAAAGACTAAGTGTTTACAGCACTGATCCCATTTTAACGATTGTCCCTCCGATAGTGAAGAAAACCATCAGGAGCAAAAGCCAGCAGCGCAGAAGGGAAGTTACTGTGACTACGGACGTTTCTGTAAATCTGTTCTGGAATACACAGACATAAAACAATGGCTTGTTTACTGAATCAAAGAAAACACTGAATTGCAATGAAACATTAACCAGTTCACGGGCCGAGAGTCAGTTGCTCTTTACCAGTACGGATTAGCTGGAAATCTTACCAGGAAATGAAGACCAGCTGTGCAATATTATGTCTCCAGATCTCAATTGTCCTTTAAAGTCAAAAACCATGGTATTTACCCAGGCCACAGGATAATGCTGTTGAGAAAGACAGCGTTCTGTCAAGAGGCTGAGAAACAAGCTGAAGGGAAGGCTGTGCATGTGTGGTGTCAGTTCTCAACGTTTCTAAAATTCTACATGATTCCAAAAAAAAAAAATCATCCAAAATGGAAACAAAATATACACAGAAAAATGTCATAACCCTTAATGGTTAAAGGAAAATCTTGGAAGTCTCACAAGCAAATAGTAAGTCCATAAAATATTTACTACAGATCCTTCGAAAATGAAGAGGAACTCTCAATAATCCAAAGATGAGTGTGATACAGTATCAATAAATACATGTATAAAACTGTCAGCCTCATACATTTTAACTTGAAATTAAGTGATGTGACTCTGCTGTAGAATATAACAATATGGGGCCTGGTGCAGTAGCCTAGTGGCTTAAGTCCTCACCTTGTACACACCAGGATCCCATATGGGTGCCGGTTCGTATCCCAGCTGCCCCACTTCCCACCCAGCTCCCTGCTTGTGGCCTGGGAAAAAGCAGAGAATGGCCCAAAGCCTTGGGACCCTGCACCCATGTGGGAGACCCAGAAGAAGCTCCTGGCTCCTGGCTTTGGATTGGCTCAGGTCTGGCAGCTGCAGCCACTTGGGGAAGATCTTCTCTGGGTTTCCTCCTCTCTGTATATCTGACTTTTCAATAAAAAATAAATAAATCTTAAATATGTACATATATAATAGAATGGCTGTATTGTATTTCTCTAGAAGAAGGCACTGAGCTTGCAGGAATTTTCAAAAATACATGTATTTACTCAAAACGTAGTGATGGGACTACAGGCAGGACAGCGACCTTCTTTCACTGGTCACTCCCTCAATGCCTGCAACAGCCAGGCCTGGGAGGGCCACAGCCAGGAGCCCAGGACTCGAGCTGGGTCTCCAGGCCAGGGGCGGAAGCCAAGCTGAGTGCCACGCACAGGATCAGGAAGCTGGTGAGAACAGGAGCCGCAGCGAGCAGACTCAGGTGCCCCCGCGGGATGGAGGCTCTCTATGGGCTTATCATCTGAGGGCAATGCTAAGCCCTCAGATGGCAGGCCTTCTAGGAAAACATTTAAACAGACTTAGGAAGTTGGTCACAATTCATCTAAAAACCTTATAAATATTCATACACTGTGAAGAAAAGTCTGCACATAAGAGAAGGAAAAACTGTAAGGAGAAGCAGGCCTTTAGCCAGCAGTTCAGACCCAGGGCCTCGGTCCAAGTCACTGTTGTGGCTCCTGACTCAAGCTCCCAAAGCCTGGAGGCCAGCGGGATGCTTCCAGGGATGGACCTCAGGCCAGCTCAAGCTCGGGTCAGCTCAGGCTCTGGCCAGCTCAGGCTCGGGCCAGCTCCCGGCTCCAGCCAGCTCAGGCTTGGGCCAGCTCAGGCTCAGGCCAGCTCAGGCTCGGGTCAGCTCCCGGCTCCAGCCAGCTCAGGCTCGGGCCAGCTCAGGCTCGGGTCAGCTCCCGGCTTCAGCCCGGCAGCTCAGCTCCTCAGAGCCAGAGGAAGAGACCACTCTCTATTAATTGTCTCCGTGCTTCAAGCAAGTAAAAACAACTAAGCAACAAGAAACGAACCCTTAATGTCCATGACACTCACAACCAGTATTTTTCAGTCTAGAATAAAAGGACCCAAAATTGCATAAACACAACAAACTTCTAAAAAATTTAAAAGTCATGCTCTTCATTCCAACAAGGAAAACTTTTATGAGGTAAGAAGAATTTTTTTAAAAAGACACTTGACTAAAATTGTGAAATAAAAGATTAGAATATGACAGCAGGTCATCAATGTTATACCTATGATTTTCAAAATCCAAGCTTTGAAAACTGAAGGATCGTTCATAACTCATGTAATAACAAATCAGCCAGAGGTGACATGAAGCGACTCAAAGTATTTATGTGCTAGATTTGGGAGAATCTTCATAAATGTCATCTCAAATACTGATTTTAATTACGCAATTATATGTTAGAGCCCACAATGTGTGCTGAATGAAGTGAAATCTATGATACTTCTAAAAATCTACGATCCATCTAAAACCATATCTGGATTTTAAGAGGCTGTGGCATACTACTTTCAAAATGTTTATCTTCGAAAAGAAACACATTTGTAATAAAATAATTACAGTATGAAATGTGCTAAAATTTGCCAAAGAAAATAAATAAAATAAACATGGATATTTGCTCTCTTCCTGAAATTAGTTTTAGGATCTAAACTGACATAATGTCAGTAAACATTATTATCAGTTACTTCAAACAGTGTTAAAATTACCCCATAAACAACAACGTTTAGAATTACCACTTTCCCAGCTTTCCTGATAGTCTGGTACTTGGAGGGATTCATAGTTTTAGTTGATTTCTTTGTTTTCGCTTTATCTGAAACTGCATAAACAGCAAAACACAATCGGGCCATTCTTGGCAAATCACAAGTGTTAATGTCAAATTCCAACGGTTCATTCCAAATGTGATCGTTTTTCCCTGAAATCTCTGAGCTCACGATGGTTTTACACAGGAGCTCGGTACCGTGAAACAGACCAGCTCTGACATGAACCTGCAACAAGACAAAAATAAACAACAAATCGTGAATTCTACAAGAATGAAATGTCTTTGTTTTTAAAAAATATTTATTTTACTTGTTTAAAAGAGTTAGAGAGAGAAGGAGAGATACAGATAACCAGGTAACCCTGCTGGTTAATGCTCCAAATGCGCCAGACTGATGTGAGGAAGCGGGAACCCCGTCTGGGTCCTCCTGGAGCTGGCAGGAGACCAAGCACTTGGGCCATCCCACAATATTTAAGCACTTGGGCCATTCCACAATATTTCCCAGGTGCATCGGCAGGGATGTGGGCTTGGAAGAGGAGTAGCTGCGACGTGTCCCACGTTCATACAGAATGCTGCCTTCTAATCCCGGCAGCCCTGCTTCCCATCCAGCTCCCTGCCTGTGGCCCGGGAAAGCACTTGGAGACAGCCCAAAACCTTGGGAACCTGCACCCATGTGGGAGACCTGGAAGAAGCTCCTGGCTTCTGGCTTCAGACTGGCTCAGCTTTGGCCGATGTGACCACTTGAGGAGTGAATCAGCGGATGGAAGATATTCCTCTCTGTCTCTCCTCTATGCATATGTGACTTTCCAATAAAAACAATCTTTTTTTTTCTTATAATAAACAATCTTTAAAAAATATCCTGATAGAAAAATCAAAGAATTAACATGTAAAGTGATGTACAAATCAGTATTGTCCACATGCAGACAAAATTCCTTAAGCACCTTATTAATAAATGGAGCAAGAAACGAGACAATCCACACATTTTTACCATGTCTGACTTACAGAACATAAGTTTGGTCTCAACTCTGAGAGCCAGTCAAATTATCCCACTAAAGGGACCCTCTCAAACACAGAAAATAGGACAGGATAAAACAGAATGTCGTTACAGGAACAGAAACAAAGTCAAGACGCCCACGTGACAGTGCAGGTAACATGTCAACGCGACTAAGCTGCCGGGAGTCGGAGATCAGCTCAGAGGTACCTCTGGGTGTTTTATGACCTGACTGGCTGACCGCCCTGGGGTGGGTAGGCCTAAGTCTCTGGACTCGAACAGAACAGAAAAGCAGGCTGTTCTCCAGTAACTGCCGTCTAACTGAATGCTAGCTTTGCTCTTGCCTTCAGGCCCAATGTGAAACCTTAGCTCTGCTTCTGTCTCAGCTTGGCCACCTGAGAACAGGACTGGTGTTATCAATACTCCTAGGATCCACGTTGCCAGCTGCAGACTGGAGACAATCCATTGGCCCTCTCGGGTTTCCGGCTTCTCTCCTGGGTCCCCAGGGCCCGTTCCTCTGGAGAGTCCCGAGTAATTTATCAGTTCTCACCACTTCTATTTAACATAGGATGTCCTAACCAAGAAACCAAGGGCAGGAAAGGTTTGGGAAAAAAGGATTTAAGGCTGCCACTTTTTTTCAGACTCCTCTTAAACATTATACAGAAGCACCTAACCTATTGAAGCAAAGATTATCACAGGCAAATCAAAAGATAACCACATTTAGCTCATTCCAATTCAACTACATATTCTAACTGGAGGGAAGAAGTAAGAAGAAGAGAACCAGAAAGCGACATGGGTAAGGTGCGGAGGTACATTCAGTAATACATGTCACGGGGTGGTGCTGTGGCGATGGTTCAAGTCCTGCCTCTGCTTTCGACCTAAGCCTGCTCTTGTGCTTGCTTTGGCCGCACATATACAATTACACTTGCTATTAAGGCACACCCTGGGAAGCCACATATGATGGTTCAAGTACTTGCAACCCTGGGCGATCCAAACAGATTTTCTGACTCCGGCTTTGGCGAGGACCAGATGTTGCAGGCACTTGGGGAGTCAGCCAGTGAATGAGAGAGCCCTGCGCAGTGTTCTCACTTGTGTCTTGCATTGTTCCCCCATTGCCCTGCCTTTCAAATAAGTAAAAAGAACCAAACCTTAAAAAGTACTAGATGTTTCCTTAAGCTCATTAATCCTCTCTATGAATATATGACCACAAACAACAGAGAAGCTGATGGAAGACAGCAAAACACTACGGACATCAAGTGCCAGTCCTTTCAGGCATTTTGCCGCCGACAAAGCCGAGCACGCTGGCAGCAGGTGTCTGAGTGGAGGTTGAGATGTTCTAGTTCTACTCGTGATCCAGTTTCCTGTTACCACAAACGCTGGGCGACAGAACGGCTCCAGACCTCAGGCCCCTGTCCTCAGGTTGTGACCTGCAGTGACTTCCTGCCTTCAGCCTGATCAGCCCCGGCTGCTGTGGCACTTAGGGGAGTTGACCAGTGAACGGCTGGTTGTCCTTTCTTTCAAGTAAATTAATTAATTACAATAAACAATAAGCACAAATTTAGAAAAGAACTAGAACACAATATTTTACAAAAAAACAAAAGCATATAGTGAAGGCTTCAGTGGTCATCTTTGGGAGCGCGAAGAGGAAGGGACTGAATAACAAACTTCTAGAGAGAAACAGCAAATACAAGGAAAAAATTACTACGGTTGGCACATTGGAGCAGCAGGCTGGTTCACTGCCCTGTGGTGCAAGCATCCCATGTGGGCACCAGTTCATGTCCCAGTTGCTTCATTTCCCATCTGGCTCTCTCTTATAGCCTGGGAAGGTGGCAGAGGATGGCTCACGTCCTTGGGACCCTGCACCCATGGGGGAGACCAGAAGAGGCTCCTCACTCTCAACTTTGATCAGCTCGGCTCTGGCAACTGCGCCTGCGTAAGTGGAGAACCAGTGGATGGGGGACATTCTGTCTCTCCTTCTCTTTCTGCAAAATCTGCCTTAGAAATAAAAACAAATAAATCCTTTTTAAACATTATATCAGCCAGCACTGCAGTACTGCAATGAAGCCGGCTCTGCTGGCATCCCACATCAAAGCATGGATTTGCGTTAGGGCCACTCCGCTTTGAATCTAGCTCCTTAGAGATGTGCCTGGAAAGCAGCACACGATGACACAGGCCTTGGAAGTGGAAGCTTCCCGGCTCCTGCTCTCAGCCTGGCGCAGGCTCTGCCGTCATGCCCACCGCCGAGTGAAGCCACTGGTGGGAGATCTCTCTCTTTCTCTGTGCTTCACCTTCTCTTCCTGTCCCTCTTCCTTTCAAATAAACAATAAATATTTCTTAAGAAAATGGGAAATATGAAAAATTAGAAGTGAGTTCTAGTACTAGAGTAGTAATTGAAAAAAAAAAACAGAACTGATTAGTGTTCTAAAGACAGACACGATACCCTAACAAACAGGAATGACCATTTCATAATTTGTAAACACACACCTTGGATACACAACACTGAGCAAAACCAAAAAGCACTGGCAACATTTCCCAAGATGATCCTAAGCACACCCTCATGCCAGCTGACATCTCAACTACATGAATTTCCTTCTTAGATCCCAACTATTCACTCAGCTTCTAGTCCAGCAAAAGACAACTCGTGTTTGACACTTCAAGGTCTCTGTCCGGGCTCGCACAGCGGACCCCCTGTGTTCACAGCCTTGCTCAGCAAGCTGAACAAAAGGCACAGTGGGAGGCTCGGTTACGCACGCCTCCAGGCTCACGGAAACGCACGTGGTCTACAGCTTGGGTTTAAAACCTCATTTTTAAATTCCTCATCAAAAACCATTTCTCCTACATAGTACACACTGAAAACATCATGGCAATTGTCCCAACAAAGCCCTATTCAAAGCAAAAACCTCAATCATTTTACTATAAACTGTCATACTAAACAGTTTAGGTCAAATCTAACCTCCAACACGACACTTTTAAGTTACTGAAGTAATGGGGTCCAAGGAAGTACAAACCGCAGAGTACTCACTTTGACGGTTTCTTCCGTGTTAAGCTTACTGCCTTTAACCAGCACAACTTGGAATGGACTGCTGTTCTCCCAAACATGCTGTTAAAAAAATACACAGATATTTTGATGAAACAAATATTCTATGGTAATAATTAAATCTATCAATGACAAAATTATTAAAACAGAGCACTTAACTTAAAATCACACATATCAAACATTTTAATTAGCAACTTATTTTCACAGAATATAGGCTGCATTCCACTGCTGCTATGTCATTTAAATAAAAATCAACAAATAGCAATGGTATGGGATAAATTGATCACTTATATTAATAAACAAATAATGTCATTAAGCAATACAATTAAGCACCTTAGTTTAAAAATGTTAATTGTTCAAATGTACAAAAACTTATTTAAATATACTACATTCGGGAGAAAACAGTTCCTCTAGTACATGTTTAGTACTAAAAGAATTCAATATTGGGGCTTGAATCATGGCTCAACAGAGTAATCCTCCACCTTACAATGCCAGCGTCCCATATGCACGTGTGTTTAAGTCCCAGCTGCTCCGCTTCCCATCCAGCTCCCTGCCTGTGGCCTGGGAAAGCAGTCAAGGACGGCCCACAGCCTTGGCACCCTGTACCCGCGTGGGAGACCCGGAAGAAGCTCCTGGTTCCTGCTACGGATCGGCACAGCACCAGCCGTTGCTGTCAATTGGGGAGTGAACTAGTGGATGGAAGATATTTCCCTCTCTGTCTTTCCTTTACCCTGTTAACTCTTTCCAATAAAAATAAATACATCTTTTTAAAAATTAAATATTATAAATAGAAGTAAATTATACCTTGAATACCACCAAATAAAACTGATAGAAACGAAATACATTGAGGATTCAACCACTTGTGCAAATGCAGCATTTTTCACTATGATGTGTCCAACTGCTCACTGAAGTCCTAGGCTTGGCATCTAATCTAATTTCACAGTGGTGATATTTACTCTATTTGGGAGAGGAGACCAAGAAGAATAACAAAAATACAAATGGCATATTTCCATATATTTGAAATGTAAGTAAGGAAAAAGAATAGTAGTTGGATCATTTATAAACTATGGTGGCAGATTTTTGGCAGACATGTACCGGCTTTCCCAGCAAGAGAAGTGAGCCGAGGAAGTAAGCGTGAGCCCCGGCACGCGTGGGCCAGCAGGGCGCACGGACAACACTCACAGAGACAACACGCGTCTTCTTCGGCGGCAAGGGCAGAGGCAGCGTGGATGGACTCCGACCCATGGCAGCTTCGATGGCGACGACTTCCTGCTCATACATTTTCTTGATCTTGCAGCATTCCACAAGCACGAAATGGGGCAAAGTCCTGTTCATCACACACTTCCGCACATACTGCAGCAGTAAAAAAGATTTTCAAACAAGCAATGAAATTAAACCAAACACCACACCAAGTCTTCACCATACTGTGAAGACTCACCTAAAACAAACTGACACCAGATTAGGATTTAAACTCACAACACCTAGGCACATATCTATGAATGGAGCGAGGCATACCTTGTTACACATTAACAAAGGTCACCCCACTGAGGAGCTTAAGGAATGAAACTCAGAAGAGCTAAGTTACACATTCAGCACCTGAGTGACCCGGCAGAAAACTGCAGGATTCACACACCAGCAGAGGCTTCCAACGCGCTCGCCATGTGACAGACTGAGAACGGGCAGCTCGGGCCTGTTTTCAGCACAGGGCTCTCTGCACGCAACAATCTCGCCAAGAAAAATCTACTAGTCATTTTGCTCAATGCTTTATTTTTGTTAAGTCAGAGGATTCTCCAGAGGTATATTTTTAAAAAGCAGAATCACCAAAGATTCACGAAAAGCCAGATACTAACCTAATGTATTCTGTACAAGCACAAATTCCTCAATACTCAAAAGAGATTTGTGATATACACTCCAGAACTAGTACAAATGATTTGTCTTCACGTTTCAGGAGCTGTCTGTGGCAGGTATGCCACCAGCATTTTCCACAGGCGCTGGTTGCAGTCCTGGCTGCTCCCTGCCCATCCAGCTCCCTGCTAATGGGTCTGAGGAAGCAAATGTTTGGACCCCTGTGTCCATGGGGTAGACCCAGGACAGCTCCTGGCTCCTGGTAGTCTGGCTTAGCCCTGGCTGTTTGGGAGCTTGGGGAGTACGCCGGTAGAGGGAAGATTTACCCCTTTGTCCCTTCTGGTTAATTTTGCCTTTCAAATAGATAAATCTTTTAAAAATACTTCACATACACTTTAAAAATATTGTTTTAACTAATTTCCATTTCTCTCATTCTTTTACCTACACTGTATGTGTACATACATATATTTGGGGGGTATTCTTTTTTCTAGAATGTATCTGCTATGTGATCCTGTGCAAAAATGCAGGATTCTATTGTAACTTGTAATTAGTGAGTGGTAACTGCTGGAAAGCCACATATTTTTACTACTGAGGTAGAATGAAGTGTTAAACTCAAGAATTTAACGTGAGAGGCTGGGGCCAACACCGCACACAGTGTGACCGTCTCTAGTGCCAGCATCCTGTATTGGGGCTGGCTCAGGTCATGGCTGCTCCACTTCTGATCCAACTTCCTAGTGATGATCAGGGGAGGTCACAGAAGACATGGAAGACTCAGACCAAACTCCTGCTCCTGGCTTTGGACTGGACCAGCTCTGGCCATTGTGGCCATCTGGGGAGTGAACCAGCAGCTGCAAGATCTGCTTCTCCCTCTCTGGCTCTGTGCCATCTAGTTCCATCTCCCCCTGGCAGCAAGTGAACACTCAATGACAGAGCATGAAGCGGCATCCATACGGGCACCAAGCATGATTCACCTTCCTTACCACGAACTGGACTTCAATTATCTACTATAAAAATGACACACTTCCCAACGCTGTGAACCCAAGACAACTACTAAACTAGAACATTTAAGGGCCACGTCGGAAAACCGAGCAGAGGTATAAAATGCCACTGGCTGTGAGCAGGACACCTGTGCCCTACAGAGCAGCTCTCGTTCCTGGCTCTAACACCCTCTTACTGCCCACCCTGGGGACAGCACTGAGGTGCAGGTTCTACACACACACAGTTCTCTAAAACAGCGACAGTGAGCACACGTACCTGGAACTGGATAAGCGGGTGGTCACCAAATACATATTCCACTCTGCCACTGACTTGCAGCACATAGTCCTGAGGGCTAACCTCTTCCTCCTTCCCATGAACAGTCAAACGCTTCTGGATGGCCAACTCATTGACTTTGACAGGGTTCATGTTAGGGGACACTTGAAAGCTAAATACATCCTGAGAGGAGGGAGGGTAAAAAAGCAGCAGCAAACTTTATATTTTCACAGAAAAACCACTCTAGTAGTTATTATGTAATATATTTTAAATGTGCCTATCTGCATAGTAAAATTTTCACACTTCATATTTTAATATCCTAATACACATTTTTAATATCCTAAATACTGAAAATAAAACACTATTTCTGATAATACGCAAGTCACGGTCCAGCCCCTGAGCATCGCACCTTGCACAAGCAGGGCCGGCAGGAACCGAGGCTGACCACCACGGGGCACACAGCCTGGACTGCAGACCAAACTAAGACAAAAACAGATACTGCCTTTGTAACTACTCAAATTTAGCACATAGTAAGACAAAATTAGCATATTTATTACTAGGGAGAATACATACTTTATACCAATTAAGCTATACTCTAATAATTTTTGAATTTTACAAACATGCAAGAAGAACATTTGTTTAAAAGAAAATTAAAATTGGAATTGTGCCTTATATCCATTTATCACAGAGTTCAATGGTACAGCTAGATAACATAGATGAGTAATAAATGAATCCTCTTACAATCCAACAAGGATGTTCCCACAATATGGACGTTCACAGACAGGAGAGGCTCTAGACCTCCCAAGCCCATCTATGAAAAACCAATGGCTTGGCCCAGGGTAGCCTAGTGGCAGAAGTCCTTGCCTTGCATGTACCAGGGATCCCATATTGGTGCTGGTTCATATTCCAGTTGCTCCACTTCCCATTCAGCTCCCTGCTTGTGGCCCGGGAAAGCAGTTGAGGACGGCCCAAAGCCTAGGGACTCTGCACCCGTGTGGGATACCAGGAAGAAGTTCCTGGCTCCTGGCTTCGGATCAGCATAGCATCGGCCGTTGCACTCACTTGGGGAGTGAATCATCGGACGGAAGATCTTCCTCTCTGTCTCTCCTCCTCTCTGTATATCTGACTCTCCTCCTCTCTGTATATCTGACTTTCTTAAAAATCTTAAAAAAAAAAAAAAAAAAAAAACCTTTCTTTAAATCTTAAAAAAAAAAAACCTGTGCTTTAAAGTTCTTGACAAATTTTTACTTTTATATCACTTAATTCTAAAAAATGTATAAGGCAATTTCAAGGTACAATTTGCTAGTCCAATTCTAAATTGCCACTCCACTGTATCAGAAAATCATGTCTGTATACTGTACAAATTCTAAGTAAACTTACAGCATAAATCTAAAACCACTCTGTAACAGTGCTTATCAGAAAGGCGGGCAGCAATCCACAGGATAAAGGTCAGAGACGAGCTTTTTCTTCCTAAGGCATGACGGTACCTGCGAGTTCTCGAAGTGCACAGCCACAATGAGCTTCCCTCCGTACAGCTTCTCCTCCAGGTCGTCGAGCACGGATGGCTCGTGCTCCGGAGGGTAGGTCTGCCTCAGCCAGTCCATCCAGGACAAGCCCAGCAGCGACTGCGTCTTCTCCTCACTCAACCGACGCATCTTTCTTCGAAACTCATTCACTTCAGGATCCTTCAAGGCGTCAAATTCGTGCAAACCTAAACACAGTTTAAAAACATATTATATTTAATACCTAACGATAATAAACTGGAGCACAAACAATGCAACAAAATTTAACTTAGATATTTGGCTTTTAGCACCAAAAACCAAACAAACAACAACCACCTGGGCGGAAAAATATGCAAGATCAAAAGAGCAACCAGGTAAAACAAATGTCATGTACACACGAGTAGCACAATTGAAATTCTAAGAAATACAAACCTGAAACTCCATAAAGAAAAAAATTACTATAAACTCATAATCAGGAAAATTCACAATACACATTACTTAACATAAAACATTCACAAGTTTTCTCCACACTCCATGCAAAGCACGTTTTAAAATATCTGAGGAAGGCAAAGGATAGTAGCTCTATTATACAAAAATTTAAAATTCAAGTTATTATTTAACTTAAACCTTGGCAAACTAGGCCCTGTGCAGTAGCCTAGTGGCTAAATTCTCGCCTTGCAAGCGCAGGATTCCCATATAGGCACTGGTTCTAATCCTGGCAGCCCCGCTTCCCATTAAGCTCCCTACTTGTGGCCTGGGAAAGCAGTCGAGGACAACCAAAGCCTTGGGACCCTGTACCGCGTGGGAGACCTGGAAGAAGCTCCTGGCTTCTGGCTTTAGCAGGCTCAGCTCTGGCTGCTATGGCCACTTGAGAAGTGAATCATCAGATGGGAGACCTTTCTGCCTCTCCTTCTCTCTGTATTTTTCCAATAAAAAAATACATCTTTAAAAAAATGCAAACACAAATTTGCCAATATCATATTAAAAGATGAGTTTCTAAAAATTTACCCTCATCTTCTGTACATACCTTATCTCAAATTAGTAATATTACGTAAATCAGCATTGATCTGCAGGTCATTTTAAAAGGGCATGTCTTAGAATACATGTTACATGCTTATACATAAAATAGCAAACATCCAAAGAAGTCGAATGAAGACGTTTTAAGTACCTTTTCCTATGAGGACGCCAATTTTCGAGTCTAATTTTTCGCCTGGGTCACAGCTCCTTGTCACCAGCTTGAGAACTGGAAGGAAAGGCCTCACGTCACAAAGTCTCCGCGTCTCGTCCTCGAGCTCTTCGTACACGGCCGTCTGGTTCACACAAGCAAACATGTAGGCGTCAACCTCCAGAAGCAGGTTAAACATCGGGTAACTGTGAGCTTGCTTCCATAGCAACTGCAAGACAAAGGGTTAGAGTTAGGGTTAGGGTTAGAACACAAGCGCCCACTCCAGTGGACAAAGATGCACGCACTGGGTGCAAACAGCAGGACGATGTCCGGGAAACTGGATGAGCAAACCAGAGTACTGTTAACTGAGGAAAAGCAGAAAGAGCAAGAGGACTCCAAAGATTCATGAATTCAGTTTTCTTTGAATATGTATTTGCACAAACTTTTAAAGACACTGTATATTATGAGATGGAAATATATTCAAGAAATAATGAAAGGTTATTTTTTTTTAGTCTATTTCTCTTTATTTGCAAGGCAGGATTAGATAGAGACGGAGGATGAGGAAGGGCAGGAAGGAAGGCAGAAGGCAGGAGGAAGTCTTCCATCGACGGCTTTGCTCACTTAGTAACCACAGCAGAGAGGGCTGTGCAGGCTGCAGCCGGGGACTCCCCTGGACGGCAGGTGGATGGCCGCCGCCCAACACCCGGCTCTTCTGTGCTGCTTCCCAGGCACGTTAGCAGCGAGCTGAATGAGAAGTGAGGGACACACATATTGCAGGCAGTAGCTTAACCTGTTACACCACAATTCTTCAAATAGCAAACCACAAGGCCAGTGGTGGCATAACAGGTAAACCTGCCGCCTGCCAAGCCAGTACCATATAAGGATCCAGCTTCCTGCTGATGTGCCTGGGAAAGCAGTGAAGGACAGCCCAAGTCCTTGGGCTCCCGTACCCACAGAGAGATCCACGAGAAGCTCTTGGCTCTTGGTTCCAGCCTAGCACAGCTCCACTGTTACGGCCATTTGCGGAGTGAGTGCACCAGTGGTTGGGAGATATTTCTATCCCTCCCTTGCTCTGTAACTCTGCCTTTCAAATAAAATAAATGTTTAAAATACATAAAAATGTATATAGACATATACACATATATATATCATGAAAGAATATGTGTATTATTCCATGAAATGTACTATAAACAAAATTAATAAAAATAAATGAGGTATGAAGTGAGCATCAGTGAAGCCTTTTGAATCGAACATTCCTGTAAACATAGAACCGGACGGCGGCTGGCACAGTGACTAAGCTGCCGCGTGCGACGCTGCATCTCCTGCGGGAGTGCTCGGTCTGAGTTCGACCTCTTCCACTTCTGACCCAGTTTCCAGCAATGCATGTTCTAGAAGGCTCAAGCACGGCGGTCTCTGCCATCCACATGGGAGACCCGGATTCTGTTTCAGAATCCTGGATTCGGGCTGGTCCAGCTGTGGCTGCTGCAGGCACCTCATCTGCCTGCCTCTATCTCTCAAAGTTCAAAAAACTGAAGTCACTTCTAGCCAGGAACAAAAGTAAAGTTTGCATCATCAAGTTACAAAATGTAAATCATATTGACCCTGCATCAAGACTATCCTGTTAACACAATTGGTCTCTTACCATCCCCCTCCATGTCTCCAGATAGATAATGAAAGCAACTCTATACAAACACATATTCAGACAATAGTCATTTAAAAAGCTAAGAATTGCAGATACCAGGCTTGGAATAAAACTTGTAGCTAGTCCTTAAATTGAACGATATATAAGTAATAAGAGAAAGCACAGGTGAAAAAGAGGAAGAAAACATAACAAATACACTGAACCTACAAAATTAACTGTACCGTTTTGTACTTCAAAGAACATGATCACCTGAAATAAAACACAACTCACAGAACAGAAGAAAATATTTATAATCACACATTTAATAAAAAACTAAAACTCAGTAACAATCAGATTCACGCATCAAGAAAAGCCTTGGACAAACAAGCACCAAAGAAAGAAAACCAACAGGTGCTCAATGTGCACCTGAACAAGGGCCACGTGGCCTCGGGGGACATTCTGCAGGATGCTCACCATCAAAAGCACTGCAAACAGGGCCCAGCGCCATAGCCTAGCAGCTCAAGTCCTTGCCTTGGGCACCAGTTCTAACCTCAGCAGCCCTGCTTTCCATCCAGCTCCCTGCCTGCGGCCTGGGAAAGCAGTCGAGGACAGCACAAAGCCTTGGGACCCTGCACCCATGTGAGAGACCTGGAAGAGCTCCTGGCTCCTGGCTTCAGGTCGGCACAGCTCCGGCCATTGCGGTCACTTGGGAAGTGAATCAACTGATGGAAGATCTTCCTCTCTGTCTCTCCTCCTCTATTCATATACATCTGACTTTGCAAAAAAAATTAATAACCTCCCCCCCAAAAAAAACCATTGCACATAGCAAATGTTGCCGATGGTATTTGCAGAAATAACTCTTGCACATTTCTGGTGGAAATGCAAAACAGTGTAGTTTCCGAGAGGAACAGTACTGAGCTTCCTCAAAAAGTTAAAACACAGGGATCGGGGGTGATAGTTCATTGGCTAAATCATCACCTTGCCTACACCAGGATCCCATATGGGCGCCGGTTCTAATCCTGGAAGCTCCACTTCCCATCCAGCTCCCTGCTTGTGGCCTGGGAAAGCAGTCAAGGACAGCCCAAAGCCTTGGGACCCTACACCCAGGTGGGAGACCTGGAGGAGACTCCTGGCTCCTGGCTTCGGCTCAGCTCAGCTCCGGCTGTTGTGGCCACTTGGGGAGTGAACTAGTGGAAGAAAGATCCTCCTCTCTCTCTCCTTCTCTCTGTAAATCTGACTTTCCAACAAAATAAATAAATAAATAAACCTTTAAAAAAGCGCCCATCAAAAAAAGTATTAACCTAAAAGATTAAACTTCCCATACATTTACCATACAATTACCATATCAATAGCATTAAAATCCAGTGACATCCAATGAGACACAGCAAACTAAACACACAGAAATTGTATATGTGAGCAACACACCTGCTTAATGTAAGAAATGGTAGCTTCCCGAGGCACCTCCAGCTGGATGTAAATCCCAGTCGGCAGAAGGAAGTCCACAGGGATGGAGCCATCAGATGCCGTCTGTGAGCCCACTGCCCAGATGTCAAGGCTGTCTGCCATGGCAGGAGGCATAGTGTCGCTGAGACACATTCCTAACCATCAGCTCCTGCAAGTCAGGAAGAGAGCAACTGTCATTCGCCAAACTTTGTGCAAAAGGCGTCAAGTCCATCAGTTGACAGTGAGCCCTAGGATTTCAACGTCATCCACAGGAGACCAATCACCTGCACTATTTTAAAGAAGAAAACGGGGCAGGCAAGCATCCAGAGCAGAGAAGTGGCTGTTCGGGCCTCCCATGTCCCAGATCACAATGTGTGGGTTCAGTCCCAGCTACCTCACTTACAACCTAGTTTCCTACCAATGTACACTTTTAGAAGGCGACCAGCGACAGCTCAAGGTCTCAGGCCCCTAGCACCAAAGTAGGAGACCTCATACGGAGTCACAGACTCCTAGCTCCAACCTGTCCCAGCCCTGGCTACTGCAGGCAGTAAGGAGGTGAACCAGCAGAAGCAAGATCTGTCTCTCTTTGCCTTTCAACTAAAATTGAAAATAACTAGAAATTTTAAAAACAAATAAAAAGCAATTCCAAGAAGTAAATTATAAATATACTCTTCGTTATCACTACATAAATTATATACACCACGTGGATTCAAATCCTGATAAATACGTGACTTTTGAAAGAACTGCAGATTTAAAGGTTACAAAGTCCTGACAAATTCAATAAACCACTAACACATGACTCTCATGAAGCTTGATTGAGAAAAAGTTACTAACTCCTTAGGATAATCTGCAAATGCCAATGAATTGACAACCAAGACAGCACCCCACTCTCATGAACCTCACAACGCAGCACCAACACACACTGAAAACTCCTCACCCAGTGGCAGTGTCTCATGCATGACTCCAGCTTGTTTTTCTTCGTGTGTCACACACTCTACAGCCCAGGATTTTGTACAAATCCCATCCACCTTCTTGCCAAGAGACATATATTCACAAATGCAACAAAATAAACTCCTCAAACTAAATCCCTATCTCAAACAAAACTACAGAACAACCCTTCAATCGTGCTAGCTCTCCCCTCTTCCCTAACACTTTTCTTGAAGAAGGTGCACATCAGAACGAAATCCACATGAACATTAAAAAGGACCTAAGGCTCAAGTGCCAAGGGTTTAAACAAGCAGTGGCTGATAGGAAGCATTTTTGAACACATAAAGAAAGTCACAGGGGAGAGTGATGGGGTGCAGCAAGTTAAGCTGCCACGTGGAATGACCACGTCCCCTGTGTCCCCTGAGGCTGACTCTCTGCTTTCCCGTCCAGCTTCCGGCTAACACCAGCCTAGGAAGCAACAGATGACAGTTCAGCAAGCTCTAGATAGAAATCTGGGCTCCTGGCTTCAGCCTGGCCCAATCTTGTTTGCTGTGAGCACTTGGGATTGGACCAGTGGACCCAAGATCTCTGTCCCATCTCTGTCTTTCAAGTATATTAAAATAAACAATGTAAAAAAAAATACTAAACATATAAAAATGGAGCTTAACGGGCCAGTGCTGCAGCATAAGATTTTATTGCTGGCACTGGCATGCCAAGTGAGTGCCACTTCCAATACCAGCTGATCTACCTCCGATCCAGCTCCCTGCTTATGGCCTGACAAGGCAGCAGAGGATGGTCAAAGTGCTTGGGTCCCTGCACCCATGTGGGAGAGTCCCAAAAGACCTGGCTTCAGCCTGGCCTAGCCCCAACCCCTGCAGTCACTTGGGGACTAGTAAACCATAGATGAAAGACTTCTCTCTAAATCTTTCTTCCAAATAAGTAAATACTTTTTAATTCTGGAAACTTATATTTTAAATTTTTATTAACTTATCTATTTGCTGTAGAGGTAGACTGACAGAGCAAGAGACAGAAGATGTTCCAAGATGCCTGCCACTGCCAAGGCTCGGCCAGGCTGCAGCAGAGTCTCTCGCCCAGCTGGGTCTCCCACGGGCATGGAGGGGGCACGGAGGGGGCACGGAGGGGGCATGGAGGGGGCACGGAGGGGGCACGGAGGGGGCATGGAGGGGCACAACTACTTGGCCGTTAACAGTCACTAGACTTCCAATGAACTGAACTGATCGGAAGAGGCACTCAGTGGGGGAACTCCTCATCCTTGCACATAACAAATATTTGCTGGATGAAAACACGCTACATGAAATTCCAGAGACCATGCTTTGCTCCTTGCAAAGACAAACAGATGTAAAATCAGCTCCTGAAAAAGTCACACCAAGTATTTCACCTTTTTTTTTAAGATCTATTTTTTTTAAAGATTTATTTTTATTGGAAAGGCGGATATACAGAGAGGAGGAGAGACAGAGAGGAAGATCTTCCGTCCGATGGTTCACTCCCCAAGTGGCTGCAACAGCCAGAGCTGCACTGATCTGAAGCCAGGCAGCAGTGCAGGAGAAACTCAGTTATTAAAATCAGCCCTGGTTACTGGCTATACTTTTGCACCTGTCTCCCAGATGTACATTTAGACGGAGGTCTCACTGGGCAGTGCTGCTTCCGCATCTCACCACTGAGAGAATATGTGCTTCAGAATGTTAAATTTTCCTCAAATAAAAAGATATCCAATCAAATCCCGGTTCTTGTTTACAAGTGCCATGACAATAAGGAGTGACTGTAGCAGAGCGTCTCATGTGACTGCTGAGAGAGTGAGTCATGAGCCAAGCTGCCAGTGCGTGGCGGGGCTGCTGAGTGAGTGTTCACATCTAGAAACTGAGTCAGTGCCAGAAAGCCATCTGGATGGCAAACTGTAACATGAGAAGAATGTTAAATGGCTTACAGCTGCAGAAAAAGCATCTGAACCTTTTCGTTATTTCTATCTACTGCATTCTGAAGATGTTACAATACATAAAAATTAAGAGAGCATCCTATAATGGTTGGCATTTCTCCCCGGCCATTTCAGGCCTATTCTGCACACTGACTGATGTTTGGGCTGTGTGTATATTTATTATTTGTACGTTGTAAATCTTCCTTGGAGACCAGTTTTCTTCCTAAGCTATCCAGCCATGAAAGATCAAATGCATCTATGTGCAGCTTTCATTCCTCCCTCACTACTGCCAGGGAAGAGGAGAGAGGCGGCGAGTGGCTGGAAGAGGAGAGAGGAGAGAGGCAGCGAGTGGCTGGGGAGAGGAGAAAGGGGGCAAGTGGCTGGGGAGAGGAGAAAGGGGGCGAGTGGCTGGGGAGAGGCAGCTGTCCTTGGTACCAGCCAGGATGGCCTACTCTCTCAGGAGAGCGCAGCACAGCCAGCAGAGCGAGCTGACCTGTCATCTGTGCTAAGCCTTTATCAAGAGGGGGTTATTGCACAACTGGCAGGAACTGCAGAAGGACAAACAGGGGTACATTACTGAACTTTTAACTTACTGAATATTTACCATGTGCTCATGCTGTTTAAGAAACCACATAACAGACTTCTTGGGAGAAGGGGCATTACAAAAAACAAACAAAAAAAAAATGGAGTTTGCATCCAGCCTCTACCAAATTACTTATGCTTGCTCCGAGAGACACATGGGAGGTGTGTCTGTCCTCTTTCCTTCAGACACTCTGAGGGATAGTGAAAGCTTACCTGACTGTAGTGTTTTCCACCTCAGCCTCCCAGAGCCCCAAACACAGGAGACAGAGTGGAATACAAGGGAGGACAAGCCTGATGCTGCTTGAACCTCACCAGGCAGACAGCACGGGGCTTCTGCCAGCAGGATGCCTCGTTGAAGAGTAGAGGCAGTACTATAGCACCACTGTCATTAAATCCACTGCTTCCTGGCCCAGCATGATGGCTCCATGGCTAAATCCTCCCCCTGGCAAGTGCTAGGATCCCATATGGGCGCTGGTTCCTGTCCCGGCTGCTCCACTTCCCGTCCAGCTCCAGCTTGTGGCCTAGGAAAGCAGGAGGGGATGGCCCAAAGCCTTGGGACCCTGCGCCTGCGCGGCGGATCCAGATGGAGTTTCAGGTGGCTGACTTCAGCCAGCTGGAGAATATTGATTAGAAGCAAGATCTGCACTCTGCCTCTTTCTCTGTCCTCCAAACAAGCAAGCATTTAAGAAGGAAAAGAAAGATCAAAGTTTACCATCAGGCCCCTTCACAGTTTTAATTCTCTTAAGCATTCAAGAGCAGCAGGAATATGTCTTTAAAGATTGCTTCAAATATTTTTTATCTGGGAGTACGTGCTCGGTCTAGCAGTTGAGACACAGCTAAGATAGAGCTGTTCAGACTGGAGACCTGGATCCGATGTCCGGTCCTGGCTCCGAGATCCAGCTGCCTGCCGACGTGGACCCTGGGAGGCAGTGAGCGGGTCCTAGCCACCCACGCAGAACACCCACACTGGGTCCCTCGTTCCCCGCCCCAGACACACTGAGCACTTGGGGACTGAGCTACAAAACAGGACTGTTGTTCTTGCTTCCTGAACAGATTAAAAAGAAAACAAAACAAAAAGACAAAAAATCCTCTCAAAAAAAGCATTTCCTCAAAAAACAATTTTTAGTTACAAACTACATAATAATCTCTTTTCATTAATAATCCTCAAAACTTTAGTTAAACAGTTTGGATACTGTGGGAGGGAGAAAAAAGAGAAAAATAGATCCTTCTTGAAAATAAAGTGATTTTCCATTTAAATTTTAAATGTGACAAACTTCACTTAGACTTAGGACGTATTCCACATTTCATGCCTAACCCCAGTAGCCCGCACACAGAGCACAGGCGTGTAACAGCACGTGCCTGTCCCACGTGTGCTCGAGCAGGCGGCCGACACCAACAGCACACACGCCTGTCCCACGCGTGCTCGAGCAGGCGGCGGACACCAACAGCACACACGCCTGTCCCACGCGTGCTCGAGCAGCGCGCCCACACCAACAGCACACACGCCTGTCCCACGTGTGCTCGAGCAGTGCACCCACACCAACAGCACACACGCCTGTCCCACGCGTGCTCGAGCAGGCGGCGGACACCAACAGCACACACGCCTGTCCCACGCGTGCTCGAGCAGTGCGCCCACACCAACAGCACACACACCTGTCCCACGCGTGCTCGAGCAGGCGGCAGACACCAACAGCACACACGCCTGTCCCACGCGTGCTCGAGCAGTG